GCGGCTGTACCGCACTGGCTAAATTTCTCATCTACAGCTGGGAGACTCGTCGCCCCTGTGAGGCAGACCAAGTTCTAGGCTGTATAAACACACACACAACCCAATTTTTGTGTGAGCAGCATTTGAATATCGTCACCGCAAAGCTCGATGACGCATTCTCGGGGATCGTACTGTTGCCACTGTCCCCACAGCTCCGTCATCAAATTTCGCGATGAAGCAAAAGGCGGCTTTGGAAAAAGAGACTGAAAGAAAAGCTCCGCTTTCATCCTTTGAATTCCGCCGCGACGAAGAAGCTTCTTGGTCAGTGGTGTTGCGTTCGAGTATTCTTGGGTCCCATGTGCCAGGAAGCTTGTATAAAGTAAGAAATATTCCTACCCAATGTCGTTGCACAGCATTGATGCCTTCTGTGAGAAAGTCTTTGGAAACAATACGACTAAAATGGTAGGGGATTTCAATACGTTCTTGGCTACATTTTCCGGAATAGCCCGTGGCGATATTATGTTCACGGCCGATTTTCCTTCCCCAAATATTCGTACTTGATCCAGCGGCGTAGACTTTCCATTTCCCCGGGGGGGGGGGGGGGGAGGAAGGGGAGGGGAGCGTATTACCTTCTCGCCAGAACTGAAGATTGAAGATAACGAAAGCACGCTGGGATTCCATTTCCTATGTATTTTGTCAATAAAGGCAACGTGGGCGTCATTTTGTTTACATGCCACTACTAGAAGCTCGTTACAACATGGCACGTAAACAGCGTCTCGGTAAGGATCATGGCACGAACCCGGGGGGAGGGGCTCTGCCCCCCCCCCCTTCCCCCTTAGTTTACGCCTATGACTTGATCTATACGAACTTCGCGTTTTAGTTTCAGCGCGGATGATTTGCGCCGAAATTAAGATTCTGTAAAACTTGTGCTCCTTCACATGTTAAATGGTTTCATTTCCTCCGGGATGGTCCAGGTTCATTTGAAGAGTGCACTAGCGAAACCCCTATTTAAGTGGGGAGAGCATAAAAATGAAAGCCGTTTACAAATCCCTGTAACGCCGAATTGGAGCGCAGTTCTTGAGGAGGAGTAGGGAAGGGTACTGAGGGGGGTCACGTCACCTGCGGGTAGTCGCGTGACCCCGGGGGGGGGGGGGGGGGGGGTCACGTGACCTCGGGGGGATCACGTGACTTCGGGGGGATCACGTGACCTGGGGGGTCACGTGACCTCGGGGGGGGGGGTCACGTGAACCCCCCCCCCCCCCCCGGTTACGCCGACGCCGACGCCGACGCCGCTCAGGCTGGAAACGGGCCCCTAAGAATTGCGCTCTAAAAGCTTGACAATTATCGACCGACTTCTCTGTTTTCCCTTGCATTGTCCAAATCTTAGAAAAACATATTTTCTAAAGTGGTGACAGCCTTTCTTGATCGTTTAATATACTCTGTCGCCCAATCAATACGGGTTTCTCAACGGGCGTGGGACCCAGACTTTCTGGAAGATTTTGCAGACAAATTGCGTCTAGGCTTCGAGGGGCATCAAGTTGCTTGCGCGCTTTTTGTTTATATGGCAAAGGCATTTGATACAGTGAGTTACGCGATTTTACTGACGAAATTGCAAAACGTTGGATTCCGCGGCCCATTCTTTTCTCTTCTCCGGAACTTTTTAACTGGGAGGATACAGCTTTAAAGGCCGACGTACACTTCCCGCTTTCCAGTTTTGCCCGTCACCTCCTTTCTTATATCATCTCCACTTTTTACCCAGCCCTAACACGTCCCCCCTCACAGTTTAGGAGAGGAGGACGCTAAGAGGATTATCTTCCCTGCAGAAAACAGGCTGTATGTCGGCCTTTAAAGGGATGGTGAACCGAAATTTGGATTTAACATAACAATGCTGGAGATGTAGGCGGGACGCTACAATCCCTACAGCACTACTAGTAAGGCGATATCTCAAAAATGGACGGCCCTATTTTTGGAAAAAGAAGTCGAGATTGAACCGGGCCGACGAGGCGCGTGACCGTCAAGATACCTAGTTTCCTCCACTCTTCGCTTCGCTCCCTCAAGGCCGCGAGGCAGAGAAGACGCGAGGCCGTTCCCTCTCCTTCTCGGAGAAACATGACGTCAACATTCCTGCCAAATGCGCCTCTTTTTTTTGAAAAATACGGTCATCCGTTCGAGATATCGCTGTATGAGGGATGTTTTGGTATTTGTAGCATCCCGTTGCACGTCTTTGCCGCGTGTTTTGGGGAATCCAGATTTCGATTCAGCATCCCTTTAAAAGCTGGGGTTCTTCAAGGTTCTGTATTATCACCTTTTCTTTGGAACATTCTTGTAAAAGATATGTCTAACCCATTTTCAATATGTACACTGTTGCAATACGCGGATGACACATTGTTACTTTCGAAACATCTTGATTATCCTGTAGCAATGGCTTTACTCCAGGAGGACACTTGCCAATTTCATTACAGGTTTGAGACAAATTGTCTTACGATAAATGCATCTAGAATTCAGCTTGTCTGCTTTCATACTCCTAAAATGTTAACGTCCGATACTGCTCTTCGTATATCTTGTAACTGTTGTCTATATCTTTTGTAGATCATGTTAAATATTTATGAATTTAATTTGACAGTGATTTGTCGTGGAGTTCCCATCTCTCAAAACTTTGTAAACGACTAAGAGACGTATCCTGCTTACTGTACAATACCCAGGTCTCTCATACCTAATTCAACGAAAAAGACAATAGCTCACGCTTTAGCATACAGTGTTTTTGCGCTACGGAATAAGCCTTTTCGGGCAGAGCCAAGGACGATGGGTTAAAAAATGTATTCAATCGTGAAAGGAATATCTAGAAGCATTGTCTATGCCAGGGGTGGCCAAGCTGCGGCTCGCGGACTCGTCCATGTGAAGCAGGAGTCCATCAACGCAAAGAAAGTGCTGTCATCCACGTCTTCTTAGCTTGGTCTGATGGAAGAGGGGAGAACGCTCGCTCGCTCGGAGCTATTTAGTATCCGCATGACTGTACGTTTGAGCTTGGATTGACTTTACGTGTTTGGGGACGCTTTTTGCAACAAGCCTTTTGTCTGGCTTTGACAGACCCGCCTCTCTATCAAGTGAACTACAGGTTGTTTTCATATGACGTCAATCCGCCATTTTGTTGTTAGTTTATTTTTTCAAACAAATTCACTAATATGAAGGATTAGATAACAACCTGTCGAGGAGATGTCAGCGTGGTAAGACCTGTAATCTTCTGTGCTCTACGCATTTAAGGGGTCATGGAAATCCTTGGAATGCTTGCCTTCTGCACACGCTAAATAGCTCGAAACAACAAAATGGGGGACAAAATTACGTCAGTGAAAACTCCCTACACGCGTAAATCAACCTTCTTACTGTTATTTATAAATAACCGCATAGAAACTTTTAAACGAGCTAATGAAGAGTTTTAGTAGATCGCTCCGATGACCCCGGTAGCGATACTCTGCCGCCGCCTTTGCATATGCATCGTATCGTTATCGGGTATCGTTATCGGGAGTACCTGAACGGTCTACTAAAATTCTGGCTTGCAATCTCTGGTCCGGACCACTAGTTGACCGGAAACTGAACGTTCACAGAACCGTAATCTTTTTTTTTTTTTTTTTTTGTAAGCGGAAATTATTAATATTATTATTATTATATTACAAATGCCTTAAAAAAATAGAGAAATGCATTGCGTGCCGCGGTTCGGAAGGAAGAAAGTGGTTTCCGCTCCCGCAACGACCACCAGACAGCACGCGGCATCGCACAACGCGAAACAACATCCCAACCGAAACGACTTTCCAGCGAGAGCGAAAAAGAGGGAGAGATGTGAAAGAGTGGAGAGGGGAGAAAGGGGGGGGGGGGGGTAGCGGCGTCTCGACTTTGATCTTCAAAGCGGCCGACACGAGGTAGCCTCCGCCGGCGGCAGTCTCTCGTCTTGCTCTTCCCTCACTTTACGCGCCTTCAAAAACGATAAAAAAAAAAAAAAAAAAGGCGTTTGCAGTGGCAGCCAGCGCTTACCACCAACAAGCAACCAACACCAGCGAAGGGAAAGGGAAACATGTTTAATCGCAATCAGATTCGGAGGGGGGTACTCTTTCCTTCGGCGGATGGCGTTAAACACGTGCACATTTTTCGTGTTCTGGGATTCATTTTCATTTTCTAAGGGTGGATCTTTTTTTTTTTTTTCTTTTGTGCGGCCGAAAACTGTGCGTCTGTGCAAACCTAAAAGAATTTAAAAAAAATGCCCGGAGTAAATGGCAGGGTAAGCCCTGGTGTGGCGAAGAGAATGGTGCATCCTGCGCAGCAGTCGGAGTTTGCGAATAAAAGACACTTGTTGCTGGTGCGTCCGAACCTTTCTGCGACTCGTTTCACGAAGCATAAATAAATAACAAAAAATTACTGTCGGCTTCTTTTTTTTTTTAGGCATGAAATGTTTTTTAAGAGTGCGTTTCGACGCCTCATATAAACGAGAAGAAAAAAACTATTATTGGTCGAATTAATTTGGGTTAATAGTGGCTACGCTAAATTTTACGCAATGTTCCATGAATGATGCCGGTATGCAGGCACGCAGTAGTGACAATTCGTCCAAACTACCACAAGAGGAGATTATTCACTACACAGGAGTAATTAAAGAACGGAAAAACGCAGGTACTTCATTTTTGGGATTATCTTTAAAAAGAAAACATTGTTTGCATAATCGTTAGAAATCGTAACCACAGCCAGACTACTGGTAACAATGCTTGTCGGATCTTTTTTCCTATGACTGCAAAGTGTTACCAAAAGATTGGTCTCCTTTTTCTTTTCAACTACTCAGTTTGAACGCGAAATAAACCCGGCAATGTCGAGGAAAAAAAAAGTCGCTTTCCAACATTGAAGAGTTTTTGCCATTGGTTTTTGCCATCCGAAATTTTGAACGGAGCACCGCTGGCATGTCTGGCCCAGGCTCCTACCCATTGGTCCCCGAGGGAAGTGACGTTTCTCTGAGACGACCTCCGATTGGCGGAACACCCCGTGACGTAGGGCGCCCCGGTGGAGAATGGCGGCTTCACACATGTGCGGGGCGAGCACTGCGGTGCTCGAACGGTCTCGAATTTCTGTTTTTCTCAACCCTACCCATTGATTCCGGCGCCTGGATTGAAGATTCGCGGATTGAAACTATGTCCGTCGATGTGCCGGGAAGCGTCATGAGCTGACTGAGCCTTCGCAAGCTCGGAAAAGTTAGGCCTACAAGTTTCATCGGGGGCCTCTTCGCCTGAGAAGTGCACCGGTAAGTTCGGTTGTGTTCTTCGGCAGTTACCCCCGTCTTCGACTCCACTTCAAACTGTTGTCGCGACTTCGCGGGTAGCCGATCGAGACATTCCTTCGGGTCGCTGGTTCAAGATCGTAGCTCAACTAGTATTTAAGGTTGTTAACCAAACTTTCTCCGCACGGCGGTATTTTTTTATTTTTTTTGTAAAAAGAAAAAGAAATGCAGAATCGGTGCAGTTTGTTGTGAAAACAATCGCGGTAACGATGTTAGGCCTATTCCGTTTACGCCGGAATACTGACTCAGTACGTAGAAAACGACTCGATTAGTGCTTTTCGCCAAGCGGCTTGGTTTTTTGAAAACTCGACGAAGCTTAAGTGAATGTTGTCAGAATAATTAAGATGTTTTTTTTTTTTTTCAGTGGGGGTGTTTGATTTTTTTTACGAGGTGCAATCGTGTGTTGCGATTTTGCTGTCGTCGAACTTCAGTTTGATGATCCTTGCGAAAATTGAAGAGTCACAACAAGGTCGGAATTAGAGGTAATGCGAGGAGGTGATTCGTGAACTTACAGTGAACTTGCGTCCTTAGCGGCAGCTTCCACTTTGTATTTTTGTGTGCATGTTAGTTACCTGTTTGTAGCGCTTAATTGGCCGTGATTATGCACAATTAAGGAAATTGCCTTTTCGAATGGCTTTCGCAGCGAGTAGTTCTGCTAAAGTTTGCGTTATGAGATACTGCTAGACTGTTAGCACCTCTTCACGTTCAAGACAGGTTTAGATGACTTCGTTAATCACAGAAGTGAAATAACGCCTAATTAATAGCTGGTTGTTTTAAGTTCCATTTGAGCTTTCACAAGCGTTACACCATCACGATTGAAGTTGCAGTTTCAAACAACCGAAGAAAAAGACGATGTCATTACTGTAACAAATTTCTTCCAGGTAGCGTAATTCAGTTATCGACGATCACATATTTGGATGGATTAGCTTGGTCTTTCGGAAGAGCAAGTGTAGCCCTACGCTACACCAGAGGTGCTTGAAAAAAATCGCTGGAACTGCAATGGTTGCATTTATTTCCAGCATGTAACTTTCTGCGACAATGGCAGTTTTTCTTTTCATATATATATCTTTTCCCCGGGTCCTTTAAATAACGAGTTCGGTTTAACGGGATTCCTGCGTCCCTGCGATCTTGATGGGGATGTTTCACAATGCGTGCAGTCGAGCGGAGGATCGCTGGAGAGCACTCGGAGCGTTTTTGGAGGGCCTGCTCGAAACCGCAGCTTCATAATGAGATCTTGCGGGGGGGATCCAAAACCTTACTCACTTTTGCCTCCGGGCGAGTCGTCGACGACGAAAACTCGTTGACTGCCCGTCGATACTCCGTCCGTCGCATATTGGAACATCGAATCTTTTAACTCGCATTGAAATCCAGCTTCCATCCGCCTCTCCATCGAACCAAGATGCCGCTTAGATTGTTGTCTGCTTTTGCGGATGTGTCGTCTGCAAGCGAAATTTTTTTTTTTTAATATCCATCTATAGATTTATATGTCTATTGGTTCACTAAACTGAGTTTTAAAAAGTATTCTAATACGCGGACTGACAGGATGGTATTATATACGGATGCGAAATGGTTGAAGAGCGTGTTTGCGTATTTTACTGAAGGGGTTTTCGATCCGGAGTGCTTGCGGTGAGGGTTCCAGTTCGTTACAATCGAGTCGGAAGGAAACCCGCTATTATTATTTCTTTTTTATTCAAAATTTTTTGTCGAGCTGTCATTGGTCCTTCCGATCGAAAATGGACGGCGCTCGCGCTCGAGCGCTAACATTTCGAGGAGGGACGTAAGTGGAGTTGAAATTCCCTCAGGGTAGCGATGTAGCTTGTTATTAAATATATGTCCTTATTGAATCATCTTCCGATCATGCTCGATTATGATTTTTTATTATTTTGCTATTGACAGGAAATATAGCTACAACTGAATAAAAGAGTTCCTAGTAGATTATTCCTCAAAATGTTGACTCATGTTACACCCATACCTTTCGGTATGGGCGTAACGCCTGATTCACAGTGACCCAACTCTCCAGAGTTAAATAAAGAAACAAACGAACATATGTTTGTTTTCTGAGGTTGATCATGAGGGAAATGCAATGTTTAGCAGTTTCTATTTAATGGTATGGAGCATAGAGAACGTAGGACCATTTGAAATGCCTGCCATTTATGCACCATAGTAAAAAGTTAATGGTAAGCCGTTGGGTCTGGTTGCTGATTGCTCCAAGTGACTATCACTGTAGTATGGCGGCGATACTAGGTCTGTGGACTGTTCATAAACCGGTTTTCAGCAGTACAGTGTTGACAAGCACTTTAGCATTGATAAACAATGTAGTGTTGACAAGAACAGTCCAGTCTCGACAAACAGTTCAATGTTGACAAGTAAGATAGGTGGCTGATAGTACTGACACCACAAGCACAGAGTGTGAGATTCTTTAGCCCCTGTCTGGGTGGGCTAAATGTGCTTCACTCTTCTAGTCTTGCCTTCTCCGGTTTAAGGAATGCTGAATTCTTTTTCAGATATTGTTTGGATTGAGCATAGCTTTAGATCAATCAAGAATAACATAGAGCTGTGGGCGATACTCTACCATGTAGCTTTAGGGAAGGGAGGGGGGGTATCTTTTTATAAAGTATTTCAGAGTGCAAGTTTGTCTGCTTCCTTCCACTTTGGTTGCAATGATGTCAGAATGCCAAGCTCTTATTGGCTGACTGAAAAAAAAAAAAAAATAATAGTGGGTAGACCTCGAGGCATCTAGCATTGAGTTATCCTTCCAATCAGAACTCGACATCGTTCTGATGTCGCTGCAACCCCTGCGCGAGGAGCAGGCGACTTGCTCTCCGCATTGTTTCTTTTGGCCACTGCCTGTCCACTTTACTGTCATTTCATTTTTTTTTTCGGCATCTCCGTCGGTGGTCTGATCTTGGCGAGACAAATGTTTTGCGCTTAACCGAAATGAATAAGTTTGCGCTTGGGCACATAAATAAGCTTGTGCACCCAAATAAATTAGCTGAGCAAGCTTATTTGAGTAACATTCTTGACAGAGTGTCAGAGCTGCAGCACTTTAACACACTGTAGCCCTGAGTAGGTGGAGCGAAAGGTCACTTTGCTGCAGAACCCAGGGATCCTGGGCTCAATCCCCACCCCTTCCCGTTTCCATCTGGACGAGCGTCGTACGGGCGTACGACCGTGTATCACGTCTGCGAGATGCGCGTTAAAGACGCTTGACCAACGGTGGTTCTGCAGTGGACACATTTGTTATCTACAGTGGAGATGCCAGGCGCCCATTGGGGCTGCCTAAATTCCCGCTGTTTAAAAAACGCATGCTACAATTCGTGCGCCGATGCATGTCAGCTCGGACATCTGGAGCTGAAACCAGTGCTGCAGAAGCCAGGGATTGTTTCCGAGTTTGATTCCTATCTATGGTGGCAGGGGTGGGGATCAAACAGCTCACAGCTTCTCATACATTTCTAGCTCTGTGCTGACGTCGCGCGCAGTTGACTAAGAGAATGAGGTAACGCTTCGGGCGGCAGTTTTATGGTAGGAGGTCGTTCCTCGAGTTGCAAGTATTGTTGCTATTGGTGGACTCTCGTACGTCGCGTGTCTGGAATTCTGCGGGCACGTAGAATTGCCTCGTTAGTGGACCCTTGAGGCCGGTTCGCGTGAGCACCCAAGCGCCGAGGCTACGACACGAGGCCAGAGCTGCGTCGGTGCCACTGTTGGCGCCGATTCGGTGCTCAGTTGGCGTTGTATTGTTTGTGCATGCAGGAAAAGCTGGGGTCATACAAATCTGAGCACTGGTACAGTGTTGAGTAAAGGACATCAAAAGAGCACTTGGAAATACAAAGTAAATGAGGGGTTATGTATTTCAAGTAAAGTAGTAAGTACATTGGGGGGGGGGCACCGTGAACTTGAAGTAAAGTTCTATAATTACGATGTACTTTTGAAGTATGAGTACTTTTTAAACCGAGTCTTTTGTGATGCCCTTTCATTCTTCTATAAACTTTTTTTTTTTTTTTAGCTTGTATGCGTTGTTTTAGGGGTAATTGGGGGTGCATCAGCTACCTTTGGAAATGGCGGCAAATATTGGATCAAGTGGCCACAGAGTAGTTGATTTACTCTCGCTGACAAACTATTGAACACAATCAACTTTAAGGCACTTATTTGTTGACAAATCATCATTTTGCGATAGAAAATTAACAAGGTATAGTTTGGGAAACTTACTACTTTGAAGTCGGGAATTGTACTCTCCTCGTAAAATACCCCCCCCCCCCCTCAAAAAAAAAAAAAAAAAAAAAAAAAAAACTAAGTAAAGTACAAGTACATACTCAGAGAATGTACTTCCAGTAAAGTACAAGTTTTCTAAGCCTATTTGAAATAAGCTTTGAGTACAATGTATTTAAAGTACTTCCCCGTCACTGACTGATAGAGAGTTGATATAGTGCAATGTCAGCACTGTGTTTGCATCGCTTAGTTATTGCTGCAGCTTAGGTGTCAACAGGCCTTGAGATAAGACTTAACTAAACTCTCAAATATTATGTCAACAGATAGTTTAGTGAGTCTACTGAAATCGTAATGGTCTTTACCATTTCTTTTTTTTAACTGAAGGTCTCTGCTAACAACACTGAATAAATGATGTCAGCGGCAGGCACTGCTTCACCGTTAGGGCAGTGAAACTTATTCCCATGTGATTACAAGAAGTTCAAGGGGAATCGGTGGCCGAGTGGGCTAGCGCACAACAGCTCGGAGCACGTGGAGCGGAAGCTTGTGGTGCATAACTCAGGTATCCTGGGTTCAGTCCCCCACCTCTACCCGTTTCGATCTGGATGAGTATCGTACCGCCATGCGGCCGTAGATCACTACTGCGTGATGGACGTTAGACCTCAGGCTAGCGGTTGTACTGCACTGGCTAAATTTCTCATCTACAGCTGTGTTTGCCCGTTGAGGCAGACTAAGTTCTAGGCCGTATAAACAAAAGAACACACCAATTTTTTTTTTTTTTTTTTAACAAGTAGTTTAATTATGAAAAATGAATGCTGTCCAAACTCAGCAGCCTAAAAAAACAATAAAAAACAACAACAACAGATATTTTGTTTTTTTAATTGCCTGCTTGTGCCTGCCAGCGATGTGCTGCTGGGAAGCATAAGAATATGTGAATGTTTGTTTCTGGCATGGCCTTCATTTGCCGTTTTCTCAATAACTTTTAGAATTTAGAGGTGCAGATGTGTCTCAATAATATGGTGTCTGTATACCCTGCTACGTAGACACATACCTTGCTACGTAGCCAAAACTTTTGGGGACAAAATCGGTAACTATGGGCACTCTGGACTCGTTCTTATGGATGACTTAGAACCTTACATAATGGACATGATGGTACAGAGGTGTCCACATTAACTAGACACAACTGCACTGAATAGCATGCCTAAAAGAGGGAAGCCCAAGTATTCAAAAGATGTAGATAGTTTGCATAGCTAAAAAAATCGGCAGATTACCCTTTTAGATAGCCCACTTTTAGTAAGTGTAGTGTTTGGATCAATGATGACCTCGGCGTAAATGCAGCTAGTTAGCTACCGCAGGCATAAGCGAACATTGCTTACTGGAAGGTACAGTTATCTTTGCTACACTGACCCTCGCCACGATAACAAGTTTGGCAGGGACACATACACTAGAAATGGCATTTCTTCAACTTTTTTTTTTGCGTTTCGAATGTTAGTTTATTTCTTACTTTCAACCGATTTGCGCTCGATTTTAGGTGGGTTTTCTCTCGGGGTGTTACAGTATCTTTTTTAACTCCCCAGCCTTTGCCCTTTCTGGTATGCTATTTAATTTAGTATATTGCAAAATTCAGAATAATTAATGCGAAATTGGCAAATGGAGGTGATGCCAAGCCAACTTTCGAATATACCCGCGCTTTTCAGGGCCATGACGTCAGTGGCAGGCGGGCTTGCAGGTTGAGCAGGCAGTATAAAAAGGAGAGCATGCTGGTGCAAACTTCCAAAGCATGAATTCGGCATCATGAAACTGCGTATAAATCAGTTGGGAACAAAAGTTTTACATTCCAAAGAGTGAACCCTCTGCCTGCTGCTGCCGTCACTTTTTCTTTGTAGCCAGTAGAGATTTTCAGTTTAAAAAAAAGTAAAGCAGCAAGGACCAAAAAAAGAAATGATTTATTAACTTTGCAAAAACAAAATTTTGGCCTAATATTTGGGTTATTAGTCCAGCTATGTTGGTGCATTTCAGTGGCGTAGCCAGGAGTTTTTTTGGGGGGGGGGGGGGGCTGGGGCTGGGATGTCCATGACTGGGTTACGGAGAGGGGGAGGGGGAGTCAAAATGCATGTGTATATTATAGGGTCTGCTGAAGTTCAGGAGGGCTAAAGCCCCATAAGCCCCCCGCTCCCCCCTCCCCCTGGCTATGCCCCTGGTGCATTAGTAAATTTTTGTGTCAAATTGGAGACCACAAAAAGAACACCGGAGTGCCCGTCTTAACAAGGTTGCGCACAATTTCAGAAGCATCCGCTGTCCTCCGAGGATGTGTGACGAGCGGCGGTGGAGGAGGCATGCTGCTCGGAGGACGTCTCGGAGTGCGGAGGGGCGTCGCTGAGGCAGCGGAGGCGGGAGGCGCGGCATGGGGGATGTCGGCTCCGAGGTGCGACAGCCCGCCGATGGCACAGAGCGCCCCCACCACCGCGACAGGTCGCCGGGTGCCCCGCCACCGTGGGACCCCGGCAAGGTAATATGGCCGTCTCCTCCGTTCGTCTCTGTAAGCACTCGTTTATAAAAGCACCAAAAGGAGGCGTGGTTGCACGTTTACATCCCCGCGAACCCTACAGTAGGCACCGCGCTTCTTGCGACATTCGTCTAATATTTTATGACCAGTTCTCCGGGTGATTAGCTAAAGGTCCGGTTAGCGAGTGCTTTGTTGGAGATTTTTTGATACGCCTGTGAGACGACCGATCCTGTCATATCTGGGGAGTAGCACAGTGGAAGGACCTCAGTGGACTACCAACTTTATGGTTTCTGTAGAACTTGGCCGTCCCAGGAATTTCAACATCAATAGGTTCGGAAGGCTTGCTGAAACGGAGTGCACGGCTTGTGTTTGTAAACGGAAAGAGGGTCTATACTTCGTCGTAACGTAACTTGGCAAACTGCGAAGACTATAGTTCGTGAACCAGTCGGCGCGTTTGAGAGGCACGCGTGGACTACACTCTGTCTGACTAGTTGCATGCATTGCTGGCAAAGCCATGGGCGGGAGAGGCAGGAAAACCGTTCTTGTACTCGTTTCAAGTGGCGGGCTAATCTTGTGGTGCGAGAAAAGTGAAGTCCGACAAGTACAAAATGGGGTTCGGGTAAGGGGAGTTCCTCGTTCCTCTCTTCTCCAACTGCTTGAGCTGTGCTCTCGCCCCCGTACCTTTGGCGAAGACTGTCACATGCTTCTACCCCGCCGCTCTTATTGGCTCTGGGGGACTGTGCGTTTGCTCTTTACCAACTTACGGTAAAACAAAGCATAGCATGGTGCCTGAAACGCGTCTTTTACTGGTACATTTAATGCGACCTCGTTCGTTCTTTTTCGATTTCCGCCCGATGACGTTTCACCTGTGTCGCGCCGTTGCCTGTTGCGATTCGGGAGGTGGTACAGCAGTCATCTGTTCTGCCGTGGCTCGTTGTGCAGTACTACAGGCTACGACAGCTAAAGCTGACACGAGATGGGGACGCCACGACAACAGTGCCTTGCGTCTGCTCATCTTCTTAGCCGTCATGTACGAACGCGCTAGTCACATGCCACGAGCGAGTGCCCTGGCACCATTCGCTTCTCAGGGCCGCTCATTCCAGTGGTGCGTCGCCATTTGCTATATTTTTCTACTCTGCGTGTGTTCCTGATTATATATGTGACATGTTTTTTTGTTTTGTTTTGTTGCGCTACCATACTCTGTGCTTGCTTTTTCGTATAACTTGATCAATGTATCCTTCCTACCTTGGCTGTCCTCCAGCGGCTGGCAATATCAATAAATAAGTAAAAATTCGCTTCCAAGGGCCGCACAAGGTATGGGCTTCATGCGCTGGTGCATTTTACGCTACTTGTTGGAGGAGACGCAAACGCATGAAGGGGCTCTATTCACCTCGAGATCGAACCGTGTTGCCACCGTGCGGCCGAAATTGGAAACGCGCGAAAGCGGGGATATTGCCGTGCGTCGTCTGCTACGGGCACACGCTCAGAAGCATGGATCTCGACGACGTAAGCCCGTTTCAGGCTGAGCTTGACATTCCTTATTAAATGTTTTATGTTTTTGTTGCCGTTTCTTCTTACTAAAGGTTATGTTCTATCATTTCCCATGCGTAGAAATTCAGCAAAGCGATCATTATTAAGTCGGAAGCTTCCATAATCTTAAGTGTGTTGGTTTGTATACAATCGCTGGTCCCACATATTTTTGTTATCTCGCACAAACCGTGGCTTTCATAAAGCATTGAATGTTGAGTGGGTCTGTGGTTTGATTAGAAAATTAACCCGACTGATCGCTATCCTTTAATAGACTAATCAATAAAAAAATCTGTATGTTGATTTTTCGCCGGTCATATTGCGTGAAAGACGTTAAAGCTACACATTTTTTTACTGGTTTTACTATGTCATAAATGGCATATTGCATCCCCATTCTATACTTCACGTTGTGAGAACTACATAAATATGAAATATTTTTAAATGAATTATTTTTTAAGTTATTATTTAAACCGTATAATCACCGTCGGCGAAATGACAAGCACGCTGAAGTGGTTTACCGTGCAAGCCTGTGTCAGAAGACGTAAAGACGTCAAAAATATTAAAGCAGACATTTTTCACTCCTTGTTGACTTTCTCCAGCACGACTCCAATTAACCGGCAAAAAAAAAATTGCAATAAAGCATTACTTGAATAATCTGAAAGTTAATCGATGAACTGCCCAGTCCCAATATACGTTAGGTGAGGGTGGAGGGTGATCAGAAAGTCTTGTGAAGGTCGCTAGCCCTCATTAGTAAAAGAGTATCACTGTGGCCGATGCTGTCTCTGTTGTGGTGTGCGTCGTTTGTTTGGGTTGCAAAAGTCTAACTGTGTTTGAATAGAAGATTATTTAGCCAGGAATTTATAATATTAGCCTCTTGACATCCGCGGCCCTCACCAAGAAAATTGAAGCGGTGAACCCACACCGAGAAAAGCATTTAATAACAGGAAAATTGCTGCGGGGCTCGGTTACACTTGTTTATTACAGTCACACCAGATATATTGGAACAGTTTGTTTCACTTATTTCAGTTGTCCTGCCAACCGTGCAGTTTGCAGATCTTAACTAGAAGAGACACTCTTTCCTCATTGTGATGCAGTAGATTTGTTCAGACTCCAAGAAACTTACCCACACTATGGCACGGTAAAAGGGCAGAGGAACTCAATAGCATGGTAATTTACAATACAGCGCTAATTTATCTTCATTCTAAATATTTATATTGCTGCAAAATCTAGAAGTAAAAAAAAAAAACATAGAAGCTGCGATTTCACAGCCTACAGTACCAGTATTATGTTATCTGGGTTGGAATTTGTTATTTTTTTAAATCCCCACGTTGATGAACCGATACATCCATCTTAAAAGAAACAAATATTTAACATAAATATTCCAGTTCAGCCGGAGACAGGCATCAGTCGTGGTGATCCATGCTTTCCAACGTCTGCCTAGAGCAGACGACGCACCCACAGAAGCGATTATATAAATTTAGGCCGCACGCTGGCAACACGATTCAATCTTCACTGAAGCACCGAACAGTACTGCATCTTTTTCCGCTAGAATTGTTTTCCCACCGATGGCATGCGACAAAATAAACGCAAGAATCTACGCCGTCTCGCGTGCGAACGTGGAGAGCTTGTGGGGTGGCCGTTCTCCTATCCCCGCTTTGATGATGATGATAGCGCGACCGTAGCGCCACCTCTAGGTCGATCTCGAGGCCAATAGTCGGTGACGGGTTTAAGTGCTCAGGGGAAGCTCCTTTCATCTCTTTCCACTTTAACATAGCGAAAGCTGGAGAGGAGGCGACCTCCTCTCTGTCGTTCGTTCTGCCATAGTGGAAAGATTGTGGGAAAAGCGTCCCCTCAACTCTTAACCTGCCACCGACTGTAGTTCCTGCCGGTGTCCCATGCGTGTAAGCACTTTAGGCGTGAAGGTAGCTTTTCCAGGCTTGCAATAGACTACTTCCATAAAGCCCTGCATGCAACACGGCGCGCGTTGCACTCTGGGAACTAGTTGGCCAGGGAGGAGAGTGGTGTGGTTTCGGTTTCGATCAACACGTCGACTGAGGTCACACACAGAGCGTGGATGATTAACGGCTGTTATCTCATGCTTTCTGGTCTTGAGAGCGTCATTTGTGGTCTCTAAACTAACCTGAATGGCCAGACCTCGAAGCTTTAGCACAAGCCCGAGACATATAGCATGTTTTAATGAATGCTTGTTGCATTTTTGTACTTGAGCCTTTCTGTCAGCGTTTCGAGGTATGTGGACGAGCCAATGCTGGGAATTTCGGCGCTGCGGAGCTCGGGGATCTTGCTTGTGTGCAGATCAGCAAGCTGTAGCAACCAATAAGTATGCATACATCGAGCTCGAGCCTTCACATTAGTAATGTAGATCAGGAAGTTTGTTTCGTGCGTCAATAGACGAAATATAACTTTTTACAATTACTGCTTTTCTTAAATTAATACGCCTGAGTATGCGAGGTAAAACTCTGAGGCGTCATTGAAAAGCTCCATTTGAACACACTTCTCATCTCTTATCTGTACTGCCCCGGAGCACTGCACGAAGTGAATTTTCCACCCGCTTGCATTCCACTAATATTCAACATCGCGTATGCGCATAAGTTATCCTGCAATCATATAGGCACCATTAGCACATACAAACCGTTTTAAGAAAGCAAAAGTCGAGCACTTGTGTGAAGAATGTCGCACCGTTCGCCGGAAGTGCGCCGGACGGGCATGAACTTTTATGCGGTGCGCCAAACGAGCGAAATTATTCAAAGCGCATTTGACGGTTGCTAATGGCTATAATATTTGTTATGTGTTTGCTTTCTTCCTGACTGAGTATGCCGAGATAATTTCAGACACACCGTTCAGGCACAGATCTTGGGCGACAGGGAAAGCTCGTCCAAAAAGGCTTATCGAGGAGTAGGGGATGCTTGTTAAGGGCCTCCGTCGTAGCAAGCCGATCTCAGTGTTTGCGAAAACTTAATCTTCTATCAGCATAAAATTTGAGTGTGAGATATGTGATGACACAAGGAAGACATCGTAGTAACTTTTGTGCAGCAGTGAGGTAGAATTTACTGCGTTTCCTTAAAAGTTCATGCGCCAACGCTGGGCTCAACTGTGATAATCCTGTGAAGATGCGGCTTGCTTTTCGCTCAATGAAGTAACAAGAGGCGGACGTTTGGCAAGCAAAATACGTGTAGGGCTCAAGGTGACCAAATTTCAGCTGTAGTTCACTGGTACTAGACAGGATTACTGACATTGAGCTCAAAGATGCACTCGTGGGGTGAGGTGACTAAGCCACGTCTTACTACGTTTGCATACGCACGCACAATATCCGGTGTTTAGGGAACCAAGGAAAGTGCCCCGGTCTTCGTTTTCCATCGCTCGAGAATAAGTGTATTGTGCATTCGTAAAAAGTCAGATAATCGAAAACGCAATCAGCGCGTTCGGTCGCGGCGTGATAACATGAGATGAACCTGCTCACTCGAAACCGAAACTAAGTGGCCAACTAGTTCCCAGCGTGCATTGCGTGGTATTTCGCCGCATTGGGGCGCGTCGGTTTTGGAAGAAGTCCATTGCACACCCTCGCACGAGCCGAGAAATGACGGTTCATAAAGACGGCGTGTGGCTCTGGCGATGCAATGATCCGCGCTGGCCTCACGGAGCTCATTTACGCAGGTCTCGCAGACGGACCTCCGCTCCCTGCCTTCAGGATGCAGCGGGGGAGGGGAGGAGAGGGGCCCCCAGGGGTGCCTGCGGTGGGCGTGCGACCTGCGCAGCCTGTTGTGCGACCACGAGGGACTCCAGCTCCTGGAGGCCTTCCTGGAGCAGGAGGGGGCGGACACGGGCTGCCTGTCCTTCTGGTACGCCTGCAACGGGTTCCGCTCCTGCGACGACCCGGAGGTCAAGCTGCAGGTGAGGCGCGGAGGGACGGGGCGTCGGAGTTGTTGGGGGCTTTGTACTGCGATAGGGAGTTGGGATGAGCTACAGCGAGAATCGGAAAAATTTTGGGAAGCTTGCTTCACGCCTACTGCGCATCTGAATTGAGGAATTGAGCGCGGGTTTTGGGAAGACCTCAGATATGCTGCGAGATCTGATAGGGAAATTGGACTGAAGCATTGTAAGTATTTGGGGAAACTACCTGTGGCTGCAAGTTTTGATTGGGAAAATTGGTCAAAGCATTGCGAGGATTAGGATAACCTGGGAGAAGCATTACCTGTGCTGTAGCATCAGATAGGGAATTGGGCTAAACGGGACACTGACACCCCCCAAATTTATTTTTTTAATTTTTTTCCAGACGTTTATTATGGTGTAAGACTACCCAATCAGTATTTCGCTACAACATCACATATATTTTTAATGAAGTAAAAAAACGCACCTCCTTGTAACCGAAACTGGACTGGGAAGGACGAAGAAACAGAGGTGGAGAGAGTTGACGGAAGTCACATGGCTCTGGAACTTTTCTATTTCCAATCAACGTATTTGCAGCTTCTTAGAAGCCACAAAAAATGGATATCATATTTCTTTTCCATTTTTAATATTGTGTGTGTGCCTTCGATGACCCACGACTTTGAATATATTTGGTGGTTGTGCCTAAACCATAGAAAACGGCATGTGACCACAGATAGGAGAGTGAGCGTGACCCAAATCGACCAGTTCTCGGGTGGAAAGAAAACGAGTTGCAAGCAGCGATTTGTTTTCTGGGTATTTGGGCTCTCAAATGTCATGTACAAATAAAAACCTTGGCATGCATAAATGCCCTGTCAGTGTCCCCTTAAAGGGGCCCTGCAATCCTATTTAAGCGTCTTACCTTTTTTTGCGGTTTCCACGTCTCTTGGGGTTCGGGCAAGCCAGCGGGCACGGAGAGAGTAACTATATATCGGTGCGTCATATTTTTACCGGACAGCGCGGAAACCTCCTCCACCGACGAGGGCGACCCGCGTTGCCGAAAGCGTGCGATATGTGATGTCTTTGGTCCTGGGCTTACTACTGGTCAGAGCCGCTAAAAGCTTTTTTTTTACTCGAGATACAAAATATAAGTGTCGCGAACCGTTTCAATTATTTATGGATGTAGTTTTTGTTGAGTATTTTATATTAGAAAAGAAACAAATACAGTTTATAAAGTACGGAAACAAGAAAAGACCCATTGATAAACCTGCCACCAAGCGGCGGAAAAAATGGCGCATACTAGAAAGGGCCAGTGGGGTGAGGTGCCAACGAACGGCGCACATAGAAAGGTCCCGGTTGTACACGGCGGCGCTGCGGTCTTCTACCGGCTCGAGGATCCGACCAGTTTCGAGCGTTCCGAAGGCCTTCGGCACGGGCTTTGCTGGCAATTTGGCCATTTGGCGGTATGGCAGCGCAAAGTGGCTCTTATTCTAAACTGATCTTTACCCCGTGTTTGCTGTCGTTTGTGGCCAATGAAGTGTTATGCTGAATTAGTCTCTAATCGCGCAGCAAAAGCAATGCGAGCCGCCCTGGCCGCCCGCTTCATACAGCCTATCCAACACGTGCTTTAGTGGCGCCCTCTCGAGCCGTCGACACGGAGTGCGGCAGCCGTGAGCACTCGATGAGCTCGCTACTCCTCCTCTAGTTCATGGCCACTCAAGCCAGGGCCTACGACGTCACGAAGGAGGTTATTTTTTGCTTGTTTTTGTAATTCTAATTTGCCTATAACTTTTAAAATAAAGCAAAATTTGAGAAACGAAAAGTTTCTTTAGGTTACTACGTTCAGTGCGCTCAGGTTCGGTGCAAACTAAAAAACGGTCAAAACGTTGTTCCGGGCCCCTTAAAAGCTTGACATACAAACAGTTTTTCCTCAAGGTAGAAAAATCCTCCTTGCCACCCTTCCCATTTCCCCCTCTCCTGCTGCTATCTTGATGGTGGTAGTGGTGGCTCTTTTTGTTGCTGCATCTTGGGGCTAGATGAGCCACAAGCTTATCCTGGCAGCGCTAAAGTAATGATGCCGAATCTGTCCAATCCACCTGAAACATCGAGCCAAGCCGACAGTCAAGCCAGCGAAAAATCCAAAATGGCAAGCCTCTCGGCGATCGCCACTCGTAACTCTTTTAGTCCGAAAAACTGAACTTTCGGACTGCAAACTGTTTGAAAAATTGGTTGTTAATATCTGCTATTTCGATTGGGTAAGTCGTGGTTCCTCGTCGGTGTCCAAAATAACAAACAAGCAAGTCCGAATGTTTGGCGTCCGCAAAAACGGTCGGAGTCTGATACTACTTTTTTAGCACGTCATTCTTTCTTGGCCTTTCTGAGAATGTTCTAGACGACCATATCTCGTGGACAGAACATACATTTGGTTTGCAAATACTGCAAATCCATTGCTGTAACGAAATGCAGTTCTGTGGTCACTTCACGGGTGGCGCCCTGATCGTCCGACGTTGCAAGGGCTCGGTTGTATGCAGAAGTGAGTGCGTGAACGGGCCTGCTACTGTTTCCACGCAGTACATGAGGAGCATCTACAAGAACTACATCCGCAAGCACGTGGTAGAGCTGTCGCCCGCCACGCGCGCTGAGATAGAGGAGCGGATCAAGGAGGGCTCGGCCAATTCGACGACCTTCGACCGCGCCCAGCGGGAGTTCGAGTCGTTCCTCGAGCGCGACGCCTACCCCAAGTTCCTCCAGTCGGACCTCTACGTGGAGAGGGTTGAGCAGACGCACGCCCGCCTGCCGCAGGCGTCGTCGTCGGCTCCGCCCAGGGTTGCCGTCGGAAGGAGTCCTGCTGCTGCGTCCAACGTCTGCGCTGCGGTGCGAATGGCCTTTTTGGAGGAGGATGGAATTTCTGAGCGATAGCTGCGTGTGGGAACCGTCCAGAATGCTTACCCGGTTCAAACATTGTCGGTGATTTTCAGAAATATTAAGTTGGAAAGGGCAACCAACGGAGCCCGCAAATGCGCGGAGACGAACGGCAAATGCCACCGGGAACGCGCCCCATTTTTCTTAATTGAAATCTTCTGAAAATTGTTGATAACACTTTTGAACCAGGTAAGAGTTCCGAAACTTTGGCTTGTGGGCTTGACAGCTTAGTGCTACGTTTGGGTGGGGCCGAGCATCTGGCGATGCATAGTTTGTTTTTGCGGAGAGATAAGCACGGTTCTTTTTTCCTGAAACGTGGGGTACAATGTTAAGGTCTAAAGCAGTGGTTCTCAACCATCGATGTTTCGCGGACCCCTTGTGGATTGGCGGAGATGATGGAGGACCCCGTTCGGGGTGAGGGGAGGGGGAAGGTATAGGGTAGCTATCATAATAATTGAATAAAAAAAGTGAAAGCCGTTTACAACTCCCTGTAACACCGAATTAGAGCTCAGCTCTTGAGGAGGAGGGGGAGGGAAGGGTACTGGGGGGGTAAAGTGACCTGGGGGGGGGGGGGGTCACGTGAAGATGCCGATGATGTCATCAGTGAAGTCACTGATGACATCATCAGTGACGATGACGATGCGGACTCCGATGACGTCATCAACGACTATGACGATGCGGATGCCGGTGACGTCATCAGTGACGTCATTCGTGATGATGACGATGCGGATGCCGGTGACGTCATCAGTGACGATGACGATGCGGATGCCGGTGACGTCATCAGTGATGATGACGATGCGGATGCCGGTGATGTCATCAGTGACGTCACTGATGACGTCATCAGCGATGATGACGATGCGGATGCCGGTGAGGTAATTAGTGACGTCACTGATGACGATGCGGATGCCGGTGAGGTAATTAGTGACGTCACTGATGACGTCATCAGCGATGATGACGATGCGGATGTCGGTGAGGTAATCAGTGACGTCACTGATGACGTAATCAGTGACGTCACTGATGACGTCATCAGTGACGATGACGATGCGGATGCCGGTGACGTCATCAGCGACGATGACGTCATCGGGGAGGTCACGTGACCCTGGGGGTGGTCACGTGACCTCGGTGGGGGGGGGGGGGGGGCGTGTCCCGTGACTTCAGGGGGGGTCACGTGACCTTGCGGGTCACACCTTGGGGGTCACGTGACCTTGCGGGTCGCGTGACCTTGGGGTGACCTTGGTTACGGCGACGCCGACGCCGCTCAAGCCGGGAACAGGCCCCTAAGAGCTGCGCTCTAAAAGATTTCAGTAAGGGCTAGTGTAAAGTAGACCTTTCTTATTGACTTGCACACGAGGAAACTCGCCCAAAAACTAAAACATTTCTTCTCGACCTGGAAAAAACAATTTTATTGCCGGGCTGGACTGATGAACGCGGACCCCTAGAATGCCTTCACGGACCCTGAAGGGTCCGCGAACCCCCCTTTGAGAACCCCTGGTCTAAAGGAACAACATCTTTGGACAAAAATAAGTTGAATGCGGTCTCTTGACCTCGAGCTCTTACTAAGGTCACTGGGACATTAATGGGCCGAAGAAATTTACCTGTCTTGCATACTTTTCATTTTGTCCCTGTTGTTTCTGCTTCCTTTGTTCCTTCTCGCTTTCTTATGTCGTCTGCCGTCGGAACAGGTGGACAGCCAGTGCTCCGTGGCGGTTCCCGGACCGTCTTCGGGCTTGACTTGCGAGCCGGCCTCGTCGTCCGGCTGCGAAGACGGCTCGGGGCCCGTACTACTTCCGCAGGGACTAGACATCTTGCCAACGCTCAGGGAAGACGAGGAGTTGGGACCGGAATGGCCGCCGCCCGCGGCTGCTCTGACGCGTCGCAATGTGCGAAAGATGTACCGCTACAGCGATCTGGTGCCGCGACTGGCCAAGGCAGCGTCGGATGTCCCTGTCGCCATGGCAGTGTAAGTAGAATTTCCATTCTCTAGCATTAGACTTAGCTCTCCGTGGAATGGAGTGTTCCATTAAGCCTATGCTCGGCGTCATCTTTTTGTGTGCTATGTTGTGCACTCGCACAGGTAGGTTTTACGACACTATGAAAGCTATGGTGGTCTATGTCAACATAGCACAGAAATGGAGACGCCGACTTTAGTGTTCTGTTAAAGCTAGCATTCTTTTGGGCCTAGGCAATACATGGATTCTGCTGGACACTTCATTTCTGCATTTGTGACTGCAGTTCCAGTTAGTCTGGCTACAATGGACCGCTTTTTTGACAACTACGGTTATGACGATCTACTGGTGGATACATGGGAAAACCGTCAAGGTGTCGAGCAACGGCCGTTGTGCATAAATGTTTTGTTTGCTTATGACAACTTCATTTGAGCGAACGGACTGCCATCCATCTCGACCGACCTCCGAAGCATTTCTTCTGCCCGTCCAACCACGCTTCCTCTCAAGCCTTAGGGGACGAGCGAGTCGCGACGCTCGTGGAAATGAAAACGGCGTGAGAGAAAAACGTGGGGAGACAAGCAGAAGAATTGGAACGTACTGGGTGCTGACTTAGTGACTAAATCTTAAGAGGACATTCCTCTTTTTGAAGGTCCTGTTGAGGTCGGAACAGGAGATCGTACCATGTGTGCAACAGCGCTCACCCGTTTTTCGCCCAACGTGTTACAGGTCCGCACGGTCTGGAACCAGCGGCGGCGGTGTGCCAAACCCGTACCATGTGCGCAACTCCTACTTTGTCCCACCGTCCGCCCAGGACAGCGAGTTGCACAGCCTCTCGTCAGGAGCCTACACCGATGACACCAGCACGGAAGTGTGAGTGCCTTGGCCTCGGCCCCGCAAGACGTGGCCTCGTTTCCTGTCCCTCAATTTCTGCCCGATGATGTCGTGGAAGTGTCGCGCTCTTGTCCGTCACAATGTCGTCTTTTGCTTCACCGTAATTCAGCAAACGATGAATGCTATTGTCCTGGCAAGCCAATCGGCACTTTGGAGGGAGACACGACTATGATCTCGCTATTGTATAATCCACTTATAACTATAGCGAGAAAAAAAGCCCAAAATTCTATAGTTACAACCGACTCGTTGTATCTGGACTAGTAACTGATCGTTACTAATTTAGAAACTCTAGAAACTGATTTCATAAGCGGTACATTGTTACATAGGGTATCGTTATAAGTGTATTGCGCCATAGTTGCACGCCTTACTTTCCTAGCCACGGGTAGGACAAGAAGGAGGACTGCTCTTGTACGAATTTTGAGGGATGGACCGGTCTTCTGGGTAAACAAACGCGACGTCTGGAACGTACAAAAGAGGGCCGCGCTCTTGCCTCCGTACTTTCGGTGAGGGCCGTCACGTGCCTTCCTTCGTTGACCTGATTGGCTCGAAGGGGGGCGTAGCATTTGCTTTTTGCAAAGTTGCGGCGAAATAATGTGCGGTGGCGGTGCAGCGGGGGAGACGGATGCGACAGACGATTGCTTTGCCACGGGTCGTTTTCCGGCTCGATAGTTCGGGGGTGCTTTGGGAGGTGGGAGGTTGCGACGACGGCGACGCTCGCATTCTTCTACGACCAATCGCCGGGGCAGCGAGCTAACGCAACGCAATTCATCACCCCTTTGGGGCCGCTTCCGGGCACCATGACGACGGGGTTGCGTCGGGGTACGAGATGTGGTGTGAAAGATGGCGTCGCACTTTTGCAGGGATGCCAATCCACCAACGAAGGAGACGCGGAGCCAGCGGGCGAGCCAGGGGGCCGCCATCCGCAAGAACGCCAACATCAACCGGGACTCGCTGGGGGAGCACGTCATCATCCCGGTGAGGCCCCGTCGCTTCCGTGCAGCTGCTGCCCTTTCTCGCCGTGCGGCGCCGCCGTCTCAAGGATAGCAGAAACAATGCATGGTGGTCTCTCTTGAACATGCTCGCTGCGACTTTTGCGGCACGACGTCGGCGACGTTTATAGGTCAGATAACCTTGTACACCAAGCCGTGGGGTAATGTCGCGTCGCACCTTGGTACCGCGTTGCATCACATGCATATCCTACATACTTATCGCTAACGAATTTGCGTAATGGAAGTTTATGTGGTACAGTAGACAAAAGGATAGCCTTAGCATCAGAGGTGGATTTCAACATTTTGCTGACCTAGGCTTTAGCCATACCCCCGCTTCCCATGATCAGTGACCATGGGGAGAGGGGGTTGGAGGGGGAACTAGCTAAGTTTAGAATTTAAATTTTCAAATGTATATAGATTTTGAGCTAGAATTCCCAAAATAACTAAATTTGAAGCTAGATTTACAACAAAAACCAGAGCCAATTAATTTGGCGTCGGCCACAAATTGGTTGCCCCCAGAATTCTGCCGCCCTAGGCAGCTGCCTACTTTGCCTATTGGTAAGTCCGCCCCTGCTTAGCATGCAGTATGTCTCGTTAATACGGACACCTCCGTTGCCCCCAAGAATCGTCAGTAAAGCGGTCCAAGCCAGAACTGCACGTGTTCCCCCAGTTCGTCCCTAGAAACATTGTCCGTATGGCGGGGCATCCTTATTAACTAGACGTGACCCCATTCGTCCGTTTCCCCGGCCCCCCCAGCGCACGCAGATGGACCACCCGTACAGCCTGGCTGAGAAAGACCCGGCCCAGTTTGCGGCTTCCATCATTGAAAAGCTGCGGGCTGTCAAGAAGCAGGCCGACTGCGGGGAGAAGATGGAGCGCTTCCACCGCGCCCAGGCTGAGGACTTCCCCAACGCCCGGCTTCCCTCCGGCGGGGCTGCGGCTACGGCTTCGGCTGTGCCCGGCCAGCAAGCCGACCCCGCGTTCTGCGCCGAGAAGTTCTTGGGGCTGGCAGGGGAGGAGGTGAACTCGCAGAGCATCCTGGACGAGCACGTGTCGAGGGTCTTCGACTCGCCGCTGACGCAGACGCCGCCGAGGTCGACGTCGCCGCGGAGGCGGGCTGCGGCGGCAGCGTCCATGTCGCCCTATGCGGTGCTGGGGCACCAGCTGAAGCTGCGTAAGGTAAGGAGGTCGCGGTTGGCTGCCTTTTTCCTTTCTTTTTTCCATTTTGACCTGAGCTGGTTTCGTTGCGGTTGCGCAAAAGTTGGCTTTAACGGTGACCGAGGGGGGAAAGTTAGGGAATCTGAGGGTAAATTGTAGCAGTCTGCCTGAAAAAGCTGGGGAGGAAGGATGGAATTGGGGGAAGTTTTGCGGGGAGACCGAGAGGTTGTGATGTTTTGGGGGAAGATAGGTTTTTTGGGGAATCTGGAGGAAATTGTGGGGAAGAACCTGGTTGAGATGAGTGGAAAGAAAAGGTAATTATCGGGAGACGTGAAAGTTGTGAAATTTTTTGAAAAGTTGTGGGGAATATAAGAAAGACATTTTGGGGAAGTTGGGGAACATAAGAGAAATTGCGGGTAAGTACCTGGAAAAGATAGGGAGAAAGAAGGGTACTTTGGGGGAATTTTGTGGGGAGGTTTGGAAATCGTTGAATCTCGAGAAAAATGGTGGAGTCAAAGAATTTTCGGAAGTTTGTTGGTGCAAATACAGAAAAGTAGGCGAATCATTGGAACATTGTTGGGAAACGTGACAAAAATGGATAAATAGTGAAAACAATGGAGCAATTTAGGGAAACATACATTGCTGACTCCTTTTTATTTCTTTTCTATTGTTAAAGCCCAACATGGAAGTCTGCTTGGTAGCTCGGAATGTCGTTGAAAACTCTTTTCATGTACAACATCCATTTTATAATGTTTGAAATGCAATATAGTTCGAGCATGTCGTGGCATGCAGAAACTACGACATCTCCTAATTGGCTCGTAGTCCTTGCAAATTTACCTCGGGGTTTCTTACAGTGGTGATAAGGACACCCGGGAAGTAAAACTAGAGGTAGAGTAAGGAACCTTTGAAAGGGGCAGTGCAGTTATTTTAATGTTGAAAGAAGTCGCAGCTTGAATTCCTTTTTATTGTTTCCCTGGGCACAAGTGAGAGAAAACGCACCGCCTTCTCCCGAAATGCTGAGATTCCGCTGCGTCATCGAAGAGGAAAAGACATAATTAGCCGGTCCGCAGCCGCGTGGGGAAATCACCGGAACCATGATGTGCCGTCATCGAGAGTACACAGAAGTCAACGAAACCAGTCCCCTTTGCCGCTACGCTTACTGTCAGCCATGTGGCAAACCGTCTTTGTGTGCCACTGTGGTCACATGGTGCTTGTGCTCTTTTGGAAGCTTCTGTGGGTTCTAAAAACTAGTTATTAATCTTTGTTTTAAGTGCAACAAAGAAAAGAGCAACAGTTATTAAGTAACTTCTAGATCCCATAGGAAGCTCCCGAAAGAGCGCAAGAAACATATGATGGACCTGCGCGTCAGTCAGAAGTTGGCAACGGCGACGCGACGGAGTCTTCCCTTCCGGTGGCAACTCAGAGAAACGCATTCAACCGGCGGCGACGGCGGGCAGGTGTTGGGAATTTCAGTGGCGGCGCTGAATGGCTCGGCGTAACTTACGGTGGTTTCAGCGCAGCACGGCGGCTCTCATGGGTGACAACTACAAATTCGTTTTGCGCCGTGAATATAGCACTAAAAATATTTTTGTTTGTTGTAAATTCATTTTATGACATCCTTTTCCCGTCCAGGCTCTTTAAAATAAGGTTTTTCCCTTTGCATATGGCTTTTTATAAGGGTCCTCCAAATTTCTATTTGTTTCTTTTTTTTCTTTTTTTTTTTAAATTAAAACTAGCTTGCGTAAGAAGAAATGGCTTTCTGTTCGTCCTTCCATAGGCGACGCGCACAAATTCACAAAGTCAATTTGGCCGAAGTCCGAAAATTGTCGCACCGCCTTTTCGGGTTGTTGGGTAATTGGCCGAAGTCCACCAGTTTAGCCCTGTGTTGTTAAATTTTTTTTCCCCAACAGATATTTTCCAGTGGTCGGGTTTTGTTTCCAAGGGAATGCTATAAAGCAGGGATCAGCGCACGGGTGTTTTCTTAATTATATAGCGAAAGCACGTTCAGTGCTTGCAAGCTGTTTAGGTTCAGAAGCATTGAATAAAAATGTAGAAGGCGAGAAGTCGTAATTCTTTGTCCGTTCGGTTCCATTTTAGCACGTCCTCTTCCGCAGCGTACCACCGTCTTCGGATTCCTTACCTGAGGTACTTTAAAGAGTTCCTCCGCCAGATGACGACGGAAAAACTTTTTAACCCTCTGAATTTAATTCTAAGGATTAAATCTCCTGAATTAAATTCAGAGGATTTAATTTAAATGAAATCTAAATCCTCTGAATTTTATTCTGAAAAGCGTAAAGTCTGAATTGAAAGAGCCAGCCCTTCCTTTGGCATATCCGCAAGAGCAAACAATATGCAAAGGGGGCGTCACATGTTCGGAGCGTCTAATTTTTAAAAAGTTTAAATATGCCAGCAAAGTGAAACTGTGCGAACATAATGTTTATGGTTCTTCAAAAATGTACCACCCGCAGTGCGTACAGTTTCAAGTTTAAGCTGGGCACTTTCAAATGTGTAATCACTGCCACAGAGGTTGATGCTACTAATGAAGGTATCACCGTCGTAAAAGTCTTTATATCCCGTGCCTCCGGTTCTTGTCACAGGAGCGTGATGCCTGCTCGAGCGACAGCGGTGCCGTGCGGGACTTCTCCCCGGATGAGGACGGGGTGCCACATGGGGTGCGGAGGCGGGCCCAGGGTCCCTGTGGAGGGGGTGGCGGTGGAGGTGGCGTTCCCAACGCGCCCCTCGCGCGGGCGCCCCGTGGGGGGCCGCAACCCTCCGACTCGGGGCTGGACAGCGGCACAAGCGCCGCCTGCGAACCCCTGCCTGCGGTGCAAGGGTCTGCCGAACGGTGCGCCTGTCTCTCGTTGGCTCGTTTAATCATTCGTTCGTTCGTTGCATTGTGCCCTAAAAAGGCAAGTGGGAACATTTCGAAGAGCCAGCTGTAACGACCTACCCTTCACGGGCCGTGCAAGAGATTCGAGGTCATGCTGTGTTTGAGCGAGCGCGTCATATTCATTGTTTCAAATGGGGGAGTTACGACAGACGAACGACGAATGGCAGCGGTCCGTCAATGGGTAAAGGGACGATTTGGAGGGGTGGTTAGAACTCATACTTCGAAAAAATCTCGATAGTTGCCAACTTGCCTCAGAATCGGCTCAGCATGTAGATAGAAACACCTGAACTAGAAACCCGAATAACAAGTCACAAATATTTTTGTCATCGCAAAGTTATTGAACTAAATCCGGTCCGAGAGACTCTACCAGCAACACCGTAAACGTGACATCAAACAAGGAGAGAGGGGGGAGGGGGGTCAGTACAGCTTGTTCCCAATGGCTTACAAGAAGCTGGACGGTGTGAAACAAATGCCAAAAAAAACTCGCGCCAGCAAAGAAAAAAGGAAATGTGAAATTCTGTTTTTTTAGGCTGCTGGCTCGACTCGCAAGTCGTACAGCTTGCGGCGTCGCCCCGAGGAAAAGCGCGGGAAAATTCAAACGTCTGTTTTGGCATCGTCTTCATTAGCCCTTTTCTCAAGAGCTGTTTTGAATTCAGAAATAACAAATGGCGTGCCGTGAAGGGTAAAGACTGGGTGTTCCGAGAATGCGTTTAGTCTTGGGAGGCTCCACGATCCACCAGCGGATTTTGTACACGTCGGCCTTCACGTGTGTGAAGGCGACGCCTGCCAATTTCGAAGTTGTACTATCGGGGAGCTCACTCTGCCTCCGCGTGCAGGGTGAACACTTGGATCCTGAACCACAAGGTCCCTGGGTACCCCCTCAGTCCACCGGACGGCGAGAGGGACTCCCGCTCCCACAAGAAGTTGGCTACGTCGGGCACTTCGTCGCGCTCGAAGCAGAACTCCTTGGGGTGAGGAACGGCGGCACGCCCAGCGTGGTCTTGCCTTCCACCATACATTGGGCTACCGTGACGTCCCGAGAGATGCCTCACCGCCGAAAGATAGCCCGCCCCCCATTTTTGGCCCCATTTGCTATTTTGTTTCTGAAAGAGCAAAAGATAGCCCACTTCTAGTAATTCCAGGGCCCTGTGACCTTGGCAAAAACGGTGTTATCTGATCGAGGTAAGAGATCAGCGAACATTGCTGAGACTAGGAAGGACAGTCGTCTTGGGTTCATCGCCCCCTTCCTGCAATCACGAGTTTCAAGGGTCACAAAACCTAAAACTAGTATTTTTTTCAACTTTTCTTTATGGCATATTGAAAGTTTGCTTGCCCCTTATTTTCATTTGATTTGCTACCGATTTTAGGCGGACAATCTCTCGGGATATCACGGTAGTCTTGAATGGTCTGCCGGTAGCATCTACGGCGGTGGTTCTCAGAAGAGGGTCCCTGAAGGCCTCTTTGGGGTCCTCGAAGCGATCAGCTGTCGGTCAAGCCAAACGGTGAAACTGTTCTTTTTTTTTTTTATTGCTGCTGGCTGTCCTACAAAGCTAAATAGACAAAACCATGTGTGGAGAGTGTCCAGGGTTGATTGTTCTCCATTTTTGAGTTTCAAAGTTGCTTCAAAGTCTACTTTAGTCGTCGTAATCGTTCAATTCCACCCATCGCTTTCGCCAATCCAGAAGGGGTTCCCGAAATATCGGTGGTCTAGAATCGCTGGTCTGTAGGGTGTTGCTGAGTGCTGTTTGGGCAAACAAATTAGTGTAAGTAATCCAATGAACAGAGTGCATTGAAACTTTTCACAATGGTGTCTTAAGACGGCACTTATACCACACTCAAACTTCACGAATGTGGGTTTCAGGAGTTAGTTGGCACCCGCGGGCCCCAACTACAAATTCGTTTTGCACCGTAAATATAGCTCTCAGAATTTTTTCTTTTTGCTTGTAAATTTGTATTACGACTTCCTTTTTCCATCCAGGCTGTTTAAAAAAAAAAAAATTCTTTTTCCTTTGCATGTGTCTTTTAGAGTAATATTTCTTTGCTGAAATTTTGGAACATTTGGCATCCTTCGAATCTAAAAAAGGAGGGGGGCACTTAGGATCGAGTAGATATGCTAATACAGTTCAATCCACTTATAACGATACCACATATAACAATGTACTGCTTAAAATGATCAGTTTCTAGTCCAGATACAACAATAATCGGTTATAACGATTGAAGTTTTAAGTTTTCTCATTACCCTTATATGTGGATTGCAATGTATTGAGCTAAGATTCTGCGTCGTTGATGGGCCACCACTTACCATGATGTGGTTCACGCAGGCCGACACGCAGCCGGCCGTTCGGCGGCGGGATGTCTGGATGCGGCTCCGTCTCTGGTTCCGGCTGGGGCCCCGGGCCCGAATCCGGATTTCAGCCGTCCCAGCAGCAGCCTCTGGACACCATGACCCAGCTGGTCGAAGCACGGCGGCGGCTGGAAGTCAACTACCCGCTGGCCGTGCAGCAAGCAGCTAAGACCAAGTGAGTGTGTGTCTCTGTTGTGTCGGCAAAATTGTCATTTTGTATATAGAGCATCCACATCGCGATAAAGATCAGATTTTCGGGTTCAAATCTTGCGGCGTACGCACCCTTCGTGGTCGTTATGCCAGCGACCAGGGCTGCAACATAATATTGGCGACGAGGATGGGAATGAAAATGGGAACGTTTGTTTTATTGCTTTACTAATCCTTTGAGCTTTATTGAGTGCCTCACCCAGGTACTCTCGTGGAGGCTAATATGTTTTGAGTTCCGGTTTGATCTGTGTTCCTCCAAACCGAGCTGTAATTTCTTTTTTTTTTTTTACATGTAGCGGTACGTATGTCAAGCAATGAAAACAATGTTTCATCTTGTAGTCTTACTTTTTGAGGGCGTGTCGATTTTTTTGTTTTGGGCGAGTTTTGTTTTGGCGCGCTCCTCAATCGTAATGTCTGGGCCTCACCAGAGCAACAAATGGAAACAACCGACACCGACGGGCCCCGGCACGTGCAGGACGCAGGCAAAGGTGTCTTTTGGCAGGCTTGGACTTGTTCGTGCTTACTTCACGAGCACCAAAAGACTGCAGGCCTGGCAAAGGTACCTACCTTCGCCTGTACGCTGCACATGCACGAGGCTCGTCGGTGTCTGTTGTTTGTCTGTCGCTCTAGTAGGCCTCAGGCATTACAGAACGGCGAATCCGTGTACTTTGACCTCGAACTTCGTGGCAGACATTGCGATCTAGGATCTTCCGACGAATTCGACATTCGACGACTGCAAATTCGAGGCAGCTACAGTTCCAAGTAAACAAAGGCCTAGCAGGGCTGCTCAAATGAGTGACTTGACGGTGCGAGGTCGGGGCTTCACTGCATACTACCTTGTCTCGAAATGCACAATACGAGAAATATGTCGCAGGTTGGAAGCATGCAGACATCAATTCACTTTTTATTCATAAAATACCGTATATTGCCGCGTATAAGACAACCTTTTTTTCCAGAAATGGGTGTCTCAAATTAGGGGGTTCGACCTATATGCGGATTCGATCGACCTATATGCAAGTTTACACGCATTCTGAGCCGAATGAAGGGTTCTAGGGACTTTTCCCTACATAAGGACATAGTTTCGTATTCGTAGTGAAAGACAACGTCTGGATGACTTTATTTCGGAACTTAAAACATATTTTTAAATCTAGTTATATATTTAAACAACAGAGAAATATTATACTGGCAAGAAAAAGCGCTCATCGCTGCCCGAGAAACTCAGTCGGAACTTCGTAGGGAAAATGTCAGATTTTGTTCCTAGGCACGCCAAAAAGAAAACGCGCGCACCATCGTCGCCATCTTTCCTTTCTTGGCTCGTTCAGAAGACTGCGTCGGACGAAAATGCCACCGCAAGCTCGCTGCCAGTACAGCGCGTTGTTTAAACGAAAAGACATCCTCTTCGCCGAAGCGGAAAACAACGTAGCAGCTTAGAGGCACTTCGGCTTCTCTGAAAAATGTGTTAGGGGATGGCGACGGCAACGCGATCAAATCTTCGCATGCGCGGGTACGCGACGCTCCTTTCGTGGTCCCAAGCTGGGACAGTATCCTGCCGTCGAAGAGGCTGTCCGAAAGTGGGTCGATGACCAACGAAGCAAAAGCCTCAGTGTTTCGTATGAAGATATTGAGTGCAAGGCACATGCAGTTGCTACGGAACTGAACATTGCGCGCACCGAGTTCAAGATCTCGAAGAAGTGGGTGACCAACTTCATGAAGCGCAACGGGCTAAGCCTGAGAAGGCGAACGACTGTGTGCCAGAAGCTGCCGGATGCCTACGAGGAAAAGCTGCAGGAGTTCCATCGCTACGTTGATGACCTCTGAACGCGGAACAGCTTCATGCTCGGCCAGATCGGCAACGCCGATCAGACGCCGGTTTGGTTTGACATACCGAGCCGAAGAACCGTCGCCGAAAAGGGTTGTCGCCAGGTGAATTTGCTGACGACGGGGAACGAACACAATCGCTTTACCGCGATGTTGTGCTGCACGGTCGATGGCCACAAGCTGCCCCCGTACCTGGTGTTTAAGCGGAAAACGATGCCGAAAAACGAACAGTTTCCGCCGAAGGTGATCGTTCGCGTCAACGAGAAAGGTTTTTTCAATGAGGAGACCGTCTTGGAGTGGTTTCGGCTCGTCTGGTGTAGGCGTCCGGGTGCCCTCTTAAAGCCCCGGAGCATGCTCGTTCTGGATTCTTTCCGTGGACACATTACGGACCGTGTCAAGAAGTCGATCGCCAACGAAGGATGCGACCTGGTCATCATCCCGGGGGGGTTGACATCCGTCGTTCAACCCCTTGACGTGGTTCTTAACAAGCCCTTCAAGGACCGCGTCGGGGCCTTCTACAACGAGTGGATGGCCCAGGCGCACAACCCTAAGACGCCGACAGGTCGTGTGAAGCGTGCCTCGTTCAGCACTGTGGCCCAGTGGGTGAACGACGCCTGGTACGGGCTGCCTGCGGACATGGTCCGTGCAGCGTTCTCGAAGTGCGGGATTTCAACGCCGCTTCCCCCGTCCGGCCCCTGTGACCCACAAGGCAGCGACAGCAGTGACTGCGTCATCGTCACGAGCGACGACGAGTGAGGCACGAGCTCATAGGGAGACCTCATCTACCTATATGTGAATAAATGTGATATTCCTTTGGCATAACTTGCATCTTAAACAAAAAAAAACAAAAAAAAACTTTTTGGTTGGCGGTTGTCCAACATTAGGGGGGTCGACTTATATTCGGATCGTCTTATACGCGGCAATATACGGTAGTGTCTTTTATAAAATAATGTTCTTCGCAGAGCGCGCTAAAGTGTTGCTAGGACAAAAATTTTGTTCCTGGCATGCTGGAAAACCACCCGAAAAAGCGTGACACTCAAACGATTATCCAGCCTAACATTTATAATATTTTTTTTTTAGGGGTGGGGGGGGGTTTCGTAGGTGTTTGAAAGGAATGGGATGTCCCTCGACGAAAAGGCGATGCCACACTACTTTTAGACAATGCATTTCTAGGGGTCGTCTTTCTTACAGCGCGATTGTCGACACTGTTTTCTAGGGTAACTACCTCCATTTGGTCGGGGGTTTTGCCGAGGACATTGTGCAGATTGATAAGTTTGGGACGAAGTGGCATCACCTTCCGTCATACCCATTTCGCCTTACAATGGACTGCAGTGAATCCTTCGAGCCGTTAGAGCCAGTCCAGTGTTACAGGAGAGTTGTGCGCCCTTCTGGAGGGGTGCAGCGACACACTGAGTCACGTAATGTGTTTGCAGCGCTTGATTGACTGTAGTCATGAACAGAAAGAGAAAGGCGAGCAATCTCTTTCGGGTTGCCTTTTCAAATATTGGTTGGAGCTACATTTTCGGACTTTAACTTTCACCCAACCAGTCAGATTTGTGCCGAATATGTTTACTTTCAGGTCTCTTCCGAACGCACGGTTTCCAGCATGTGCTTCATGCCTTCCGCCGTGCTGTCAAAGTTGGAAAACTTGAGCCGGAGCAATTGAATCTCCTCTTTGCCGTCTCCATTTTGTGGGTGGCCGTAGGATGGCTCTTAGCATCCACTGTAGCCTATCAGAACGGAGCCAATACTCCGCCTCATCCTACGATGAACTAGGGCCTGAAGGCTGGCGTGCGGAGCACTACCTCAGCCTTGCATCCGCATTGCAATAGAGTGCGCGAGATAAATTCCGATACCCAGCGTACGAAGAGAACTAATCTTCCGCATATGGTCCTCTGTTGTGATAGTGCATTATTTTATATTGGTGAAGTAAAGGTGCATGGCATTTAGTTTCATGAACATTCATGCCATATTTTGTAAACATGTCAACTGTCTCGAGAAGTTGGAGAGCGCGCAGGCAACCCTGACGTAAAGTTGTTTCGCCTTAGCCATAACAACCCAATCCATTTTTTGTGTACGTACCCAGACCCGTATCTTGCTTCCGCACGTATTCCGTACATACACTCCCTCGTCAAACGCTCAATCCGACTCGCCTTCATTTCTTAAAGGTTCCGTGCAGCAACGTTTTGGTTCTTAATTTGCACCAAACCTGAGCACACTGAATCCAGTTACTTAGTGAAACTTTTCTTTACTCGAAATTTTCTTTATTTTAAATGTTATAGGCAAATTAAAATGACAAAAACAAACAAAAAATAACCTCCTTTTTGTTGTCCCTCGTCCTGGCTTGGGTGGCCAATGGCAGAAGGGAAGCGACCGACCAATCGGCTGCGGCTTACGTTGATGGTCGCTTCCCCTGCAGCCGCACACAGATCAACGGCTCGTTGCTCGCTTCAGCCCTCCACCACGCTTGCCGACATGAATTTACCGTGTCTGTCGGAGTCAGAGCTCTGAATCCTCGATAAAGGTTGCGGAGCTGGGTTTAGTACCGTAAGAGGACACTCCTCGTAAGCGTCCAGAGCACGCTGGCGAAGCCTTCGAGCCCCAACTCTGTCTCAACTTGACAACGCTGAAGTTCATACTTCCGTTTCTTGCAAAGTGTGCTGCCGGCGTCGTGCATTGTCTGCTAGGATCTGCGGTCATGACCTCCGAGGCCATGCGTGGGGGCGGCTGCGCCGCCTCTTCCACCGCTTGGTGTCGTATATGTCGACAGGCCATTTCTTGTTTCCGTACTTTCTAAACTGAGTTTGTTTCTTTTGTCATCTAAAATACTGAACAAAAAATACTTTAATATAATCGAAACGGTTTGCGCCACTTATATTTTGTATTTCGGATAGAAAAAAGCTTTTAGGGGCTCTGACCAGTCGTAAGGCAGGAGCTGACCGGGACCGATGACGTCGCGAATTCGTCACAGGCCGTGCGCGTTTGGCATCGTCCGGTAAAATACGATGCACTGATATCTAGTGACCCTCTCCGTGCCGGCCAGGTTGCCCAAACCACAAGTAATGAGAAAACCGAAAAAAAAAAAAAGATTGCAAGGCCCCTTTAATGGTCATTGGTTCTGATCCCGGGTTCTCTTTGCCACATTGCTTCCAAGCAGTATTTAATCCCTTCAGTAGTCTTCAGTAGTAGCAAGCAGACAGAGCGACCGGGAGGGCTCAGTAAGCAGACGATTAATTTGCCTGCTTACTGAGTTTTATGTGGAAGGTGACCCTTTGTGTGAGTGTCCCACAGCCGAGGTCAAGGGAGATAAGAGAAGGTTTACCCAAGTGTCATTGTCCTCTTTTCATGTGTGTATTTTTTTTTGTTGTTGTAGAGACGGTGTTTGAGATGGGGTATATAAAGTGTGTTCGAAATAAACTTTGCAGCTGAGTTTGAGACGTTGCCTCCTCTTTTACTACCTTCTGTTGTGTTCTCTTTTCTGCCCCAGTCTCAGGTTTACAATCATGTTCAACTTACACCAGCTCACCTGCACTCTGACTATTTTTACTGAGTACGCATGACGCGTCTTCGTGCACTGATACGTACGACAGAGCAAATATACCACGTGGTATCTAACAGGCTCGTGGTTGGACTCGGCGGCCTGTAGCATTGGGCTTTAGTCCATCGTCGGATGAGACAGGGTATAGCGTCTGTCGCTGGCGGGATAACAGCACTGTCTCTATCCGTTTTCTTGTCCCTCCTTTTCGTCTGACCGAGTTTCAGACGCCTTTTCACCCGCACCGTCGTCTTCTCCCTGTTCGCAGGAAGTGGCCGAAGACGTCGTCCTCGTCCTCGCGCGGCTCCGTCCCAGAGCCCCTTCCCTTGGTCGGGGCCGCTGGTGGGGGCTGCACCCTAAGTGCCCCCAACCCAGGGATCAGGGCCCCATCTCCTCCTCTCCCTTCGGAGGCGACCGTGATCGGCTACTGCTACTCCGGGGAGACAGTGCCCTACCGCACCAAGCTGGCCGGCCGCAACATCACCCTCAGGCAGTTCAAGGCCCTGCTGAGCAAGAAGGGGAACTACAGGTGAGGGGCTATCACCAGAGTCCCTGGCACGCGTCTTCGACTCGATTTGTCGTAGTAGTCTTCCTAATGTATTGAACACAATGTTGATGGAGCAGTAGTTTATTTTATTCAATGTAAATCTTTGTAGTGAGGCAGCTATTATAAAGGTGTTTGACTATACGACAGCAATAATAAGGTAGTCTCGCCGATTTAGGTGACATCAGTTTTTTTTTCTAACTCTATTAGTGTTTTAAGGCCGAGTGCATCTTCTCTGCCGCAGGTATTTCTTCCGCTGTTCGTGTCATGAATTTGGGACAGAGGTCGTGAGCCAAGAGATCTCCGACGACAACGAGGTACTACCGCTCTGGGAGGGCAAGATCTTTGCCACTGTGGTCCCCCTTGACTGATGCTGTGAATGATTGGTCAACCAATCACCAACTTGTTGGTTGATCAGCGAGCCAGGAGATCTTGAATGACAGCGAGGCGTTGCTGCTGTGGTTGGGCAAGATCTTTGCTGCTGTGTTCCCCCTCGACTAATCCGGTGGTTGATCGGTTGGCTGATCACCGAGCCAGATCTCGGACAACAGTGAGGTGTTGCTGATGGGGGAGGGCAAGGTTTTTGCCACCGTGGTCCCCCTCAACTGATGCGGTGAATGATTGGTCGACCAATCAGCAGCTTGTTGGCCAATAACTGAGCCCAGAGGTCTTTGACGAAAGTGAGGCATTGCTGCCGTGGGAGGGCAGGATCTGCCGCTGCGGTTCCCCTCAACTGATGTGGTGAATGATTGGTCAACCAATCACCAACTAGTTAGTGTCTGTCTATTGGCCAATCACGATTTCATCACGTCGAGTGGCAAATCAATCTTTATTCGGGTCGATTGGCTAACCACTGGTGATCAGTCTATTGGTCGGTCATGGAGCGAGACGTCTGTTCTGGCAGCGAGGGTGCAGCAAAGAAATGTTGTGTTTTCTCCTCAAACCACCTCAGCCCCCTTATTTATGTGTCCCTTGTTACCGTCTCATCCTTTGTTTGTGGTCACATTTCTTTTTTTGTTCTTGGGAGCTTTCTTTGGCACCAGGATATTGGCTAGTAGTGTTCGTTTGGGTTCATTTTTGTTGTACAACATTCTACAGAGAACTGTGCAAACTGACTGCGTCCTTACCTTTTCGTTTTGTGTTTGAAGAAAATGGTTGTGTTTTCCGCGAATGCTTGTGACGTTGTAGTTTTTGTTTATATATATATATATATACATATATATAGGAAAACATCACAGTGGTGCGTGTGCATGTATGCATTGCATTTTCAGTTTTAGAAACTAGCAGCTTGGTTTATTCCAATTCTTTTGTGTGTGTGCGTGCATGTGTGTGTGCATAGACTGAATGGGTGTGTGTTTTTGCCTGTTTGTTTTTTTAACCTTTTTTTCTACTGTCTAGTGACCAGTTTGGAGCATGTGTATCTACACATGTAAGGTTTCATGCACATTGTGCCTTAGAACAAAAACGAAAGCAGCTACACAAGACAGCTAGCTGGAACACTGTCGAGGCTTGAAACATTGAAATGGAATCGATGGCTTCTTGTCGGATGGCCGAAAATTGAGAACGAAACCATGCAAGGTGATATAGGGCATGCCGCCGTAGTACTGCTTCGTTGTGAGGTTTTAATTAATAGTTTTGGGTGCATTGCTTCAGAACCATGAGTGTGCCTTTGACGTAGCCTCGTCTGCGGAATTTTTCGTTCCCGACGCCAAATATGCAACGAGATTTGTTGAATGTTCTCGTTGATCAAGTGTGCAGTTGTTGAAATTGCCGCTCGATCACAAAACAAGAGTTCCTTATTACCTATCTATGCAGGGTGATAATTTTATTATTATTTGTTTTTTTTACCCGTCCCATTGTTTTCGTGTCATGGGGGTGATGAGTACAATGCTTTTACAACATTGCCTGTCTGGAAAGTCGACAAAGCATCTCTATGCACTGTTACTGCTGGCTCAGACTAGGATTCAACTTTTTTTGTTTCTTTGTGCTGATGGTTGTACAGATCAGACTATGGTGTAGTTGTGGATTTGGATGTATTGAGGGTGGAAATTTTGAGGTCTCTACACTGGAAAAGTGTTAGTTCACTCATGAGTATGTCGGTCTTTGTACAAGTGCCGTTAACAATGTCTGAGACGCCACATCTGCGCGAGACTGGAGTTTGCAAACTTGCCCAAGTGGACTGTGGACGAATACAAAACAGTGCTTCCAGGATTTTTCATTCTGTGTTGAAAAACAAGACAAAAGAACACCTCTCCCTTGTAAATAAAAGTTACAATATGATGAGCTTGTGTTGTTTTGTAGTAGAACACATGCTTTCTAAGTGGGTTCCTAGGAGCTCTGGGGGTTCCCCAGAGTGCCCTCAGAGTTCCTTGGAGTGCCCTTGGGTTCCCCAGAGAATCCTTGCAGTGCCCTCGGGTTCCCCGAAATGCCCTCGGAGAGTAGTACCCTTGGGGGCTTCCCATGTACTCTGGGGGGTTCCTAGGAGTGCCCTCAGGGGTTCCTCAGAGTGCCCTTGGGTTCCCCAGGGTGCCCTCAGGGGTTCCCCAGAGAACCCTTGGGGATTCCCAGAGTGGCCTCGGGGGTTCCGAGTACCCTCGGGAACTCCCCAGGGTGCCCTTGGAGGTTCCCCAAGCTCCTGAATTTCCTCGGCTGTCCCCGACCCCAAAGTGTTCTTTCAGTTTATGCACCATTTAAGTAATGTGAGATTAATTTATGCATAACTATGGCAGATGCTTCCTAGTATGGGCATTATTGTTTACAAGGTGTGTAGCATTCTGTACTGCCTGACCGAGAGCCGAAGACCAAGAGGGGTTCTTCGGCTCTCGGTCAAGAATGATGGGCATTCTCTGAGATGGAAAGATTTCAGAACCCCTCTTGTAGAACATTTGCGTCATGGTATACACCTTTCCAAAAAACGCTCCCAGGCCGCCGCCATGTTGCTGATGCTGATGCGGCTGGTGCAACTCTCGCGCCCCCTATCAGCTAGAAATTTTCTGCCACTCTCTGGGACTGTGAAGACCCGCTCAGCGCGGTTCTTTACCTACATTTTTGCGATTTTGCATTTAACGTTCTCTCGCCCCTTTTGAAAGTTTCCACTTAATTTTTTTTATGCGTGCTGCGTACCCTTTTTATGTTATCTTCCACTGTGAGAAATAAGGTTGGTAAGTGCCTGCCATTGAAGCTTTTCTGCTCGACATTCACGGGAAACGAAGGAGGTGAAGGACGTTGAACGACCCTCGACGCAATTTTGCAAATATTTTTCTCCCCCCTCCCAGAGATAATCCGCGTAGAATCCTCGGTCATCTTCAAAAATAGTTGTCCGATAATCCGCGTAGAATCCTCAGTCATCTCCGAAAATAGTTGTCCGGGTTGGCGTGAGAAACGGGTCAGTCGCGTTCGTTTCTTACCTTGGTGTGGTTGTGAAAAAAAAGCTCTCCCCAAAACGAAGTCGTCTCTGATTCCGTCCGATCGTCAAGATGTGACTGCCGTCGACTGTGACTGTGTTATTTGAGATCTTTCTCAGATAAATCCTTTTCGGATAACGCTGCATCGTGTGATACGTACGATATATTTTTCGAATGTTAACACTTCCTCAATTGTATGTCCGTGTCCTGTCCATCGGTAAACACGTTATTTGTGAGCGTGAAGAATGCATGTTTTTCGGCCCTCTTCTGTTGCAATTTATTTTTGACAGCAAAGCGCTTTGTCGTTTCACATGCGGCGAATCCCGCGGCGCCGTCAAAGCTTATCGTAAGAAAAAAAACAAATAACTAGAACTATACATTCCAGTCGTATTCGTTCTGTCGCGCGCGTACCCAACAAAAATAGTTTACAGTTTTTTTTTAATATAGTACAATGCTTTCTCAATGTCTTCGGGAAAATACATGTACCATGAAACACAAAATATAGCTGGAAAAGACGAGAATTTAGCCGCCAGCAGCGTTTAAAACTGCGCCTACGCAGGCTGCGCCTATTGAAATCGCAGTCCACTCGGTTAGGGTTAGGAGGGACGCTGGTGAGAGTCTATCCTCAACCTTGGTGACTGGGCTCGAAATCGGTTTGTTGTTCCTGGGGTCGAGTGTTTTTTGGAAAGGTGTATAGACCTTTGCAAAAAGAGCTCTCTGGGCGCCGCCATTTTGCAAAACGAGCGACCCCTATCTGCCAGAAATATCTGGTACCCGCCTGAGCTGTGGAAACCCGGTCAGCGTGACTCCCCACCTGCATTGTGCATTCAGAGTTCACCGGCTTTTCTTGGAAGTTTTTACTTTATTCGCCTGTTTAGGATGCTTACCCTTTGCGTGTTATTTTCCACTGTGAGAAACAGGGAATCCCAGGGCTCGTAGCCTGCTCGGCCTTCGCAGAAAACGAACCAAGAGAGCGAACGTCAAGCAGCCCGCGACGCAGGCAGTTCGACACGTTCTTGGAGGATTATTTCCGTTGAGATAATCTCCGAAAAGCCGTCTCGGTTATGTTCCGAGTCTTCGAGAAAAAAAGCTGATAGGGTCGGGTCCGGGCTGTGAGGACGGAATAGACACGCTCGTTCATTTGCTTTGAAGCTCTGCAAAAAATCGGCTCTCTTTTACATGTGCCCCAAAACACGCCGGATTCCGTCCGATCGTCGTGAAGTGACTATCATCAACACTGTATATTGGATATGCTGTGTTATTTGGGACCTTTTTCAAATCCTGTTCGGATAACGCGGCACCGTGGGGTACCTACAATATATGTTCGATTGATGAGACTCGTTGAATTTAATATTGTGGGCGGGGAATATCCATGCAGTTCGGCTATCCCGTGGTGTGGTGAAATAATTTCGACGGTTAAAACCTGTGTAGAGTGACACGGCAGAGTGTATGGTGCCGTAAAAAGATCAACATAAAATGAAAAATTTTCTAGTTGCATTTGTTCTGTCGCGCACGGACTCACCAAAACAGCTTTCATTTATTTGTTTTTGTTCCCAAAAATAGTAGAATGCATTCTTAACAAACCCGAGAAATTCTATTCGCCATAGAACACAAAATAAAAAATAGAACGCGGCAATTCAGCCTCCACCAGCGTCCAGAAGTGCACCTACGCAGGCTGCCACAGCCCACTGAGGAGAAAACTCGCAGTTCAGCGGCTCAGCGCTGTCGGGCAACACTGGCGGACCCTCTCGAAACCAGGGACGCGCGCTGCCAGTCTCAATCTCGTCAGCGAGGTTAGGTTGATGAAGTTGCCAAGCTGCCACGTTTGCAGTCCTAGACCCTTTGTTTGATGGCTCTTGGCATTCTGTACTTTACCTGCTCGTCGTGGGGTGGTAGTGTGGTAGGTCTACAGAATATAATGTGCTCTATGCTGGTACTCGTCGAATAGTGGTCTCGCGGTTTTGTGCCTGTGATGGCTAGGGGAAACTGGTGTACAAAATGATAAATGCATATAGCACTCATATGGGATGCGACAGAAAAGGAAAAGCTCTCCTAAACCTTCAAACAGCAAAAAAAACAAAAACAAAAAAAACAACAACAACAAACAAACATGGGGTTGCATTACGTAACGCGTAACGCCGGCTCCCGGAAGAAATGAGATTGCAGAAGTTTCTCGAGTTCTTAGCATTTGCTTAGCATTGATATAGCAGAAAACGAGTAGGCGCATGTTTTGTAAATAAATGGATATTTTTTGAAAACATGAGGGTTGTGTGTAAGCCGGTGATTGGGTTTCTAATACTCTACCCCCACCCCGGCTTTTTTTACGTTTCCCAGTCGACCCACTGACTCGCGCTGTTTTTATTTCGCGGGAAACTCGCGATCGTTCTCTCAAGGCCGTAACGTCTAACGAAATTACAGTGAGTGTGCAGACGAGCTGGTAGAAGTTTGCCATGATGATTTTAGCCCGTGAGTGGAGCAGGAGTAAAAATTCTTTACAGTGGAAGAGAAGGAGAAACTTTCTCTTGCAATGTTAAGGATTTTTCCTCCTCCAGTTTCGGGTTAAAATCCTCACCGTACCGTTTTTTTTTTATATTTTTTTTCTCCCACCGTTTTGTTGCAGTATGGTGTCGAATCCGTCGCACCAACGATCCATCAAATTAATCCCTCACATTTTCCTGCTTGCTCGCATACACTTTTGGCACTTTTGGTTTCGAAATCGCCGGAGCCCGTCGATTGCCGGTTTAGGAAAGCCTGGAGTTGAGATTAAGCAACGCGAGGTTCTGATTGGTTACATTTGAACTGGCATCTGCTTACGTTTTCTAAAACCGTTTTTCGAGGTATCGTATCGTGGTTCGTAGGAGGTTTGCAACGTTGTTGTTGCTTTCGCGGCGTTTACGTCGGTTCCTTCGAACGCTTAGCTTTAATTTCAAAATTTATTTTACTGTCATCATGTCAACGGTAAGTACAATCTAGTTTTTGACAACTTGTATCGTTTTCTTTCCTAGAACATACGCGATATTCAGCTGCGGTGATGTAGCAGGGACCTAGGCTTAGCGGTTGGATGTAAACACCTTGTCAGCGTTTTGAGCACCGTAGTTTGAATCACGGGCCGTGTAATTCCATTTACAGTTCTTCATCTGTTACCAGGAAAATCACTATATACATGCCATACGGGGAACGAGTGTTTTCTAGAAATAATTGTTTCTTCGTAGCTGCGTCAAGATCTCGCACGGTTATGTTGCTGGCTCGCGCCTTGGCACATCGGTAGCTTCGAGTTGAAACGCTTGATAATGTGACGTTTTAATACATTTAAACAGTGAAATGTGAAGTCGTCATCGAGAATTAAGCGGTGCCTTCCTGCATGGCATCCTGATGATAAGATTGCATGCCGAGTTCATTGAATCGTGCGGTAGGTTTGAGGCTTGCTGCATTTCCGACTTGAAATTCTGACGTTAGAGATGCCGCTTTTACCGCAAAATAATCCAAAGTGCAAAGGGCATCCAAAGTGCATAATAAATTGGCATTCGCCAATTTATTATGGTATTGCAATCGTATTGAAGCATGACTGCCAATTAGATCTTGGTTGGTCTGTAATCCAAATTTTTATTGGGCCATGCATCGCAGATATCGAATTGCTATAAAAAATTGTTTGTGCAAATTTAAAATTTCTGCATAGATAAAAAGAAGAGCTAAATGATTCCAGATAGGTCCTCTCGACCGAGGATGTGGGATCTGTTTATTTAACCAATTAGTAAATAAAGCCCGCTGTTGCTGCTAAAATATTCGAATTAAAAAAAAGCCTGCTTTTTACCTACAACAAAGAATTGCTGCAGCCTGTGCATTGCTTGCCTTGATGTCCCATCCCATCATTCTAGTGCATTTGACGCTTAGTGCATACCTTCTGCAGCGTTTATTTTGCACTACCCAATTTGTCCTCCAAGAACTATGAATGACCACCAGTACGGTGGCATGACATTATGTGCAAGCTGAGCGTACATAGAGTAGAGCATTAACAAAATGAAAGATCAGTTGAAGCCACTGGAGCTATGTTACATGCATGACAAAGTCTATCTATCCAGCTGCTCCTGGGTAAGAAAAAAAAAAGATGAAGTAGAAGTACTAGACAGTTTTTGAATGTGCTGCCAAATTTCCTTTAGGAACGCCAGTCAGAATTAAGACGGCAGCAGCAATCTGTAGTTGTGGGAATCATCTCTGCACACACTTTAGCACAGATTTTTCGTTACTGCAAGCAAAAAATGTTACAAAATCTTACCAAGTTCCAACATGTAAAATTTTTGAAATAATTGCTGTTACCTGTTGACATGATGGTTTGGGAGTATTCACTTCTCTCCTTTCTATTTTTGCTCATGGGTACAGAAGTGACATGTGGGGAACAGTCTACGTTGCTGCAGTTCAGTGAAGCCAACAGGACAAATTGGACCCTGACCCCGTACTTGTAGCGTGCCTACTTTATAAGATAATCTTCACTCATTTACTCTGAACATGGTGGATTGACAGGAGCAAGGGTAGGTTTTATCAACATTAGGAGGATCCAGAAAGACCCCACTTTTGATCTGACCTTGCGTAAGGAAACCCCAAGTTTCACGGGAAAAAAAGCTTAGTCTTTAGCCTTCTCATTACATTTGCCTGGAGCACAGCCCCTGCAAGACTGCTTTGCGAGGCTGCTACTGCTTTCAGAAACTATGCCTCTTGTCCCGATCCTTTCTCTTACTAGTACCAGGATGTTTTCTTGGCATTCGAGTTGCGCGCTTGCTACCCGAATTTCGGGGACCCCGTGTCCCATTTTCTTCACTATAGGCCCCTTAGACCATTCCACTTGGTTGAAAGGAGCATGACACCTCAACTATTGGGGCAGTTTCGGCAGTACAGCCCACCGAAACTGCCCAAACGTTGAGGGCGGCCCATTTGTCGTCTGCTGTCGGGAATCAGACGCATACCCTTCACTATGTTTACCTTTCCGAACCCATTGGTGGTGGTGGCTCTGCACGTAGGTGCAGAGCCACCACCACCACCACCTCTGCACGTAGGTGGCTCTGCAGTCGAACGAAATAGCATTGCTCAGACAGCTCTTAGTAGAATGCTCTACAATTGTTTTTCGTTAGTCGCCAGATATTGGCATTGAAGAACATCATATCTCTGGGGAGAAATGAACCAAAGTTCGAAGCAAACTAAACCCAGAAAACACCGAACGGACCTTTCTCCCGTAAGCCTTCGCGCACTTGTACACCCTCTCCCCTGGCCTTGCTTTTCGCGGTTGCAGTTTTTGGCGGACGCCGTCCCGCACCACCAACTTTGTCAGCACCTACCTTTCCACATATTTGGTTTTATTTGGCTTTGCACATATAGCATCGGTGGAACGGGGCTCTAAAAGCAATGAAAACAGATACTGCGGCATGATGCCAATGCGTTCCAATGGGCAAAGCCACGTTGGGCTGCACTTCGTTTGTAGTTACCAAACCAGGGGGCGCTTGTTACTAGAAAAATGTTAAAAGGGTTCATCCGTATCCATCCATTCATCCTTGTAAAGTCTCTTGATGTTTGTGCTTGTCTCGCAAGTAGCGTCAAATGTGCCAAAGCACAGGTCCCGCGTCCCGCGCGGCCCTTGCAAGCAGTTGGCGGTGGAGCACTTGCTCGTGGCGCTATAGTCCGTTGCAAACCAAGAAGGTCGGGCGAGGGTAAGACAGGCCAGGGAGGAGGGAGCAGATGGAATGCTGGAGAACAGAGGGAAAAACCTCCTTCTCTCTTTAGCGTTCCGTCCGCTTCCTCCTCCCCGGCCCGTCTTACCCACGCCCTACCTTCCTGAGTTGCAACGGATTATAGTCTCGCACGTTCCCTTAACGACGGTCAGTGTTGCTCGAGAGGCGTGAATTTATTGAGGGGCTTTAGAAAAAGGTCACTTTACTTGTAACATGGCATCTACCCACATCACACTCGACGGCGGAGTAAAGTCCGGACTCTCGTTCCCTCCTCGCAGAGCTCCAACGTGGAGAATGTGGCGCCCCAAGTGCTGCGCCAGGTGTCGCGCGAGCTCTGCCAGCTGGTCAAGGAGCCCCCCGAAGGAATCCGGGTCTTCGTAAACGAGCAGGACGTGAGCGACATTGAGGCGTCCATCGAAGGGCCACAGGGCACGCCCTATGCCGGGGGCGTCTTCCGCCTGCGCCTGGTGAGGACCCCAATACTATGGTACCGGCTCAATGCTGCCGCCGGTAATCCTTTCCCAAAAGTAGGGGGAGGGGTCGCTCCGATAGGACGACGACGGACGCTCCGCAGGCCGGTTGCAGGTTCTCCCGCTGCTCCCCGTTGGCTCGGAGAGACTAGTAGACATTCGTGACGCGGCGCCCGTGGCCGTGATGTTTAATCCCCTTCTCGGAGAGAAACTGTCAAGCGAATACAATGTAAGAGGGGAAGTCCTTTTTTCCCTCTTCCCTGACTGCCCTAGGCCCGCTTCAGATGGGGCAACGTTTTTGGCAATTTCGGTGTTGCTGGCGAGTTGTTCCCTACCTTTCCTTAATGCAACAACTCGGACGTTTGAAGCGGCAGCAATCAATCGGGGACGTAATACTTTCACGTGACACCCCCATGGCGGTGATGAGGACAGCTAAAGACTTGGTTCTGATTTGAAATCAATCTTTTTTGGGGGGGAAGAGCCATTTTAGAAAGACGAGTCGGTATTCTCGACGCCATGTAAAGGCATAAAAACAGATTTATGGCACGTAACTGCACGTCTAAATAGTGCAAGAAAGAGGAAGTTTTGGAAACAATCGAGGGCGCCGCTACCGCACGCGTCTCCCCCAGGTGTTGCCGAAGGACTTCCCGGCGTCTCCGCCTCGAGGCTTTTTCGTCACCAAGATCTTCCACCCGAACGTGGCTGTGCCCTCCGGCGAGATTTGTGTCAACACACTCAAGAAGGACTGGCGCCCCGACCTGGGCCTCCAACGCATCCTGCTCACCATCAAGTGCCTGCTGATCGCTCCCAATCCCGAGTCTGCACTCAACGAGGAGGCCGGGCGGATGCTGCTCGAGAGGTAAGCCTGCCACGACTCGCTCGGTTCCGGAACTGCGGGCGGTTACAGTAAAACGTTAGGTATGCGCGCCCACGTCGCAATGGGCGTGCATACTTCCTCCTTTTTGGGACATCCGAATTTAGGCGGAGGACGTACCGCGGGCGCCCACCCTGAGAACTTTCGATGTGACGGGGGGGCAACTATGCGTCGGCTGCTTCTCCACGACTGCAGAACGGTGAAGCTTCGTGCGCACGTGCCGGTGCGAAGCGGCAGAGTTTGATGCAAAGGCTCCGGCGCAAATTAGGTTCGACGAAGCAGCATGGCTGCTTTAAGAAATTGACGGGTTCCACTAGACCCCTCTACTGCTCCTATGTCGTTTCGGCAGATCAAACCAGGCCGCATGCCTCTTCTGCATTTCTGCTTTTGAACAAAACGAATGCCCATCAGGATTTTCGCTATTTTTTTGCACGGGTCTTGCTCGTAATTTTATGGTCGTCGCCATTTTTCCTTTCTGGCAACGGACTCTGTGGCTCCACCTGTTGTGTAGGCGTGGAACACCTACGATCTGCACGTATTTTCTGATTTTTTATGCATCATTATTTGATTGTAAGAGTGAGTTACATCTGGCGAAGTGCACCATTTCCCAAAGATGGCGTATGGGTCTTGCAAATAGTGCTAAACCTGCCGTCCAGTTCTGAATCGGCGGGAAGTGTTCATTTGCTCTCTGACATGCGCAAGAAGGAGCCAAAGGAACTCCCTTCCTCATGTGCAGCGTAGTGTTCTGTAAGAGATTCTTTGCCAAAGTGTCCTCCTTCCGGTCGCTGCAGCGGCAAATATCCGCGCCCGCTATTCTTTGGGCACACACTCTGAGCATGTATTGGTCACAATGGCCGTGTTGGCGTTTGGCGATAACCCTGATCGAATAGCACCCTTTGTGACCAAGAAATGGCAACTGCCAGTGTTTCTTGACTGGGGTTTGAGGGGTCTTTTGGCACCAAATTTAGCGCTTAAATCCTTCCCTTTTTTTTTTTTTTTTTTTTTTTTTTTGTTGAGACGTTTGCAATGCTTTTTGCTGCGGTGTGATACGTTTAATGGAACCCCATGATGACGATAACTTTCTCGGTGCCGAGTCTGATCCCGTCTGCGGTCGCAGTGCAATAACTTTGTTCTGAGAGAGACAATACCTACGGCACATGGGCAAGTTCGATGCATCGACTGTGCCCTTCGCTCGCAACATCAAACATGTTTCTTTATTTATTTATTTGTTACTGTACCCTCAGAGGGCATTGGAAAGGAGGAGGTAACCAAACACGTGAGAATAGACAAAAATATTTGTAATGACACGGTCACGAGACGGCAAAGGGCTTGTGCAAAAATAATTATTATCAGCGTTTTTAAGCAAATTAAATGATGGTGTTGATACTAATGATGCGGCCAGGTGGTTCCACTGGGACGGCGTTCTGGGCCAAGGTTTGGCAATTAGGTATCCCAAGTTTGAGCTGACGCTCGACGCATCAGGACACAGACAAGTGCATTCAGAGTGCAACAGAAGGAGATGTAAAGAGAGGTTAGCTCTCATGAAAGATACACTGGCTGTAGGCTGATAATTCCGAAGTGTAAAAAAAAGTTAATTTCAAGTGGGAACAAGTTCCCAGAGTGTTCCCTAAGGAGTGCCCTAGGGAACTCTCTGGAGTTGACCTAGAGCACTCTCACAGGTTTGTGATCAATCCCACTTCGCCTGGAATTGCAGGTATGACGACTACTGCTGCAGAGCGCGGATGATGACAGAGATCCACGCGCGGCCGGCCAAGCATAAGGGCAACTCACCTCAGGGCAAGAGCAGCAGCAGCAGCAGTAGCAGCGTCAAGTCGGCCAAAGACAAGCGCCGCACCCTCAAGAGGTTATGATGGCAGGCGACGCGCACATAGGGAGCCGTCCGATCATTCTGAGCAACAAGCGTCACCCTTCGTCGCACTTTCCCCGCCGACTTTGTACATAGAGCACATCCCTACGATCGTTTGCAATGTTTTACAAGATTTTTTTTTCGTATTTGGCTTTTTTAATTTTGTGAGAACTTCGGCATTTCCAAAGGGGCAAGAATAGAAAGGGACCAGGAGTTGTGGTTTGAAATAAATTGCCGGTTCGACTGTCTGTAGGGACTTTTGTCCCTAGGCTTGTTTGGGAGGTATGACACTCGGGATTATGCCCCGTTTCAACGTTAGATGGACTGCGGTGGAGGCTACGTGTTGTCCCAGCCAATCCAGCACCTTCAACGTAACGTTGCTCCGCCCCTGCCGAAGGACACACAATGGTCGGACGGCATTGGATTGGCTTTGGTAGCTTGTATCGTTCCCTGCTGTCCAGTGTAAGGTGAAGCGGAGTGGGACTACCCGAGGGGCAGTGTCTCCCTGGGGGTATTGCTAAACTAAGTATATGTGGCGGCGCCATAGTCACAGTTGCAGTGAAGGCGTATGGAAGTTCTTTTGTCGTTTTCGTAGGAAGGTCAACTGCATTGGAGTATGTTCCTGTCTGTCTAGCTCAAATTAATGGCACATTTTGGAGCTGGGTGGTTTTATGTCTCTAGCAATGGATTTTTTTGTAGTGAAGAGTTTCGTAAGGTGCTTTTCGGAGACTGCTAGGTGTTTGGATTAAGTTATTCCAGATATGGAGGCTCAAAAAAAGTTATTACTTTCCTTTTTCTTTTTTCACCTGTCGAATTTAAGATGAAGGAGAGTGAGAAATTATTTTCTGAACTGAGTGTCAACGAGGTTTCAGTTTGTATTTAAATGAGTTGAAATGGTGAGATGCTTTTTATACATATTGACCAGTCTTGCTCAAGAACTGTCACAGAGTACCTAGTCTTGTGTTTCTTGCACTCAAGAACAAAATTTTCTTCAGCGATTTTTGACATTAATCACAGCTTCTGAATACAATTGGAGACTGCGACAGAATAAGTGGCACAAACGCACTGTGCAAAGCAAACTTGGGATAGATTGAGGAAAGCAAAGTGATTTTAACTTCTGCCTTAATTGCATGCATGCTGCGAGCTTTTTTTTTTTCTCATTCACATGAACTTGGAGGGAATAAAATGTAATTATTTCTCTGTGGTCTGTCATAAGGAACTACTGCACTGAAGAAATAACCATTACCAAGGTTTTACTGTTTGTAGAAGGCTTATTATCACTACCTATACTGTGTGTCGGTACATCCGAAATTCCTGTCACGAAGCAGTGTGAGGTTGACACAATCTGATGCGATAGTAGCCCTTAGCTATATGGTGGCTGATGGCATCAATCTACGGCGTCGGTGTAAAATGCACTGGACAATCGGGTGCCTGTACGTAAAAAGCTCACATTTTCAGTGAAGGTGTATGTTAATTGTGGATGCATTCCTGTAAAATTTTCTGCGCAGCTCTGTTCCCTTAAAAAGTTATAACAATGCGTTCTTGAAAATTTCAAAAAAGTTTACTACTGGTGAACGTTGTCGTCCTTCGGTGGTAACCCTTCACTGGCGATGGCCTTTTTTTATTTTAGCATGTTTCCTGTTTTTATGGTTGTCTTTGAAAGGATAAAACAGTCTGGGTGCATAATAGGGTGCCCGCCTGAACATTGCGGGCTGGCTCGTCAAAAACCAATTGGTGTTTCGAAAACCAGACGCAGGAATACAAGTGAGAATGCTGCGATTCTTTCAGGTCTATGATGACCACTGTGATAGCGGCACTTCAACACAGACTGCAGTGCGATCTTTCTCTTGACAACCTGTGTCGCCTGCTAAGGCCTCCTTTTGCCTTGAGGGGTGGGATACTTGATTCCCTCAAGGAGATCTGGACATTCGGTGTAGGACGGTTGTTACGGACGTTTCAATGCACAGACATTTCAATGTAAATGTGGGCCTTGAATTATTTTTAGGGTTGCAATTGAATTTTTGTATCTAACTGTATTTTACCTTCTTTTTTAACAGCTTGCAACCTATCCAAGGAGAGCAACTCAATTTTAAAATAACGTTCCGAGCTCGCTGTTCTTTTTTTTTCTGGTTATGGCCAGATAACTTAAGAACTACAAAGCAGCACAAAAGACAACTATTGAAACTTGCCAAAATGTAAATAACCAGAAAAAAAAAATATCGATGGTTACAAAGCGCCACAGGACAAGGACAGAAGGGAAGACTGCGCTACTTACAACTGTACCTTATCTTCGTTGTCACTCAAAGTACATATCGGCGTCAACAAGAACAAGGTAAGATATACAAATACACATTGTTAAAAGGCTAAAATTGTGGCACCACTCGTCACACCATCTCTGTCTAGTCATCCCTGGTTGAGGAACAGTAATTCTTTGTCCGACGAAGATACAGAGGGTGTGCTGACCACATTCCAGCCCCAATCTACCAGTTTCTCGGGCCTCTAGTATTTCTCGTGATTTTGTTTTTGTTCAGTGCAACCACTGATCTCTATTTTAGTAGGCCTACTACAGTAGAGATCAGTGAGTGCAACACAGTCAGCGAGGGTAAAATGCAGCCACAATCTCGGCAGTGCACACCGAGATGCCCTGATAGGACGCTATCTACGTTCCTACAGACTCTCTACGGGAGCCAGAGTTGCGCCTCTGTTTTCCACGTGCTGCCGCGCCGCTATTCGCCGAGATCCGATCACGTGCGGAGCCGGATCAAGTGCCGTGCAGGAAAGTAGACGTAAAGCGCGATCCAAACCAACGCTTCTTTTTGCGCCTGTAGGTCGTGCGGCTGCGGATGTGACGCATTTTCGTGACGTCGCGCCGCTTCTTCGCTCCTTCCGGACGCGCACAAGAAAGTTGGATAATTTCAACTTCTCAACGCGCACAAAAACGCGCGGTGACGTAGTAGGGCGCTCCTGTGTCCCGGCCAATCGGTGGAAGGCAAGCTAGTTCCGGCTCCGCGTTTCCCACCGTCTGGCTGCCCTCTCCTCCCCCCCCCCCCCCCCCTTTTATTCTCTTCCAACATGACAACACGATCTCTCTCTCTCTCTTTTTCTCTCGCCGTCTAGCCGTCCAGTCTGTCGCAGTTGCACTTTGCTTGTGCGCGCGTGCCTGCGTGCGCGCGTGCGCGCTCGCCCGAAGTTTCGCCCGTCCAAACCAAAGCGCACGGTTCTCACTCAGAAAGCGCGCCCGGAAACAGCGAAAACGCCACGATTTGCGTCACATCCGCAGCCGCACGACCTACAGGCGCAAAAAGAAGCGTTGGTTTTTCCCCTGCTTTTGAGCGCGCCGCGCGGCTCCGCTATTCGCCGAATTCAGTCACGTGAGGAGCAGGATCGCCATTCCATGCAGGAAAGACGGCGCTACGGGAATGGACGCGCAACTCTGGCTCTAATCTACGTTGTGGGCGTTTTCAGTTGAGATCGAACCGCCATGTCAAACAATCATTTTTAATTTTGATCGAAAAAAAAGAAAAAAGTACTTTGCTGGTTTCGTGCCTAAAATAACAAAACCAATCCTTGATTAAAAGAAAAAAAAATGCGAAAACAAATGATAAGCACCCCGTAGTCACGTGCGCGTTTTGCGTATCGCGCGATGTTGGCATTTCGGGCTTCTGGCTACGGGTGTAGAAATATACTGACAAATTAGGCATAGGAAGGATTGACAAAAAGTATTAATCGCCAAGAATTAAGGTCTTTATCTTTTAGAAAAAAAAAAAATCGCAAATACGCCACATAGCGCAATAACGCTCTGGATTAAATTTTCTTTTCATCTATCTATAAAAGTTACGGTCTTCAAAATTTGCCAGTTTGTTGCCCTGTACACTCTAAAAAATCCCAGTGCGTCTGCTTTCCCGCACAACGCTCGGAGAGCCAATCACCGCAACTTACGGAGGCAGCTCAGCGAATGACGATTTCGAAACATATGTTTAGACCAAAAAACGCGGTCTGAATTGTGACATTAAGCAATGCAAAACGTCACGCTTGCATTGCTTAATGTCACAACTCCGACTGCGTTTTTTTGGTCAAAACATATGCTCCGGCATCGGCATTCGCTGATCTGCCTCCGTAAGTTGCGGTGATTGGCTCTCCGAGCGTTGTGCGGGAAAGCAGACGCACGGGCTTTTTTTTTTTAGAGAGTATATAGTTTATCTTTGCATAAATTATTGCTGTTCTGGTTAGCGGGAGAAATTTACAAGAACTGCTCACACAGGGGCATATGACTACTATGCATTATTTTGAAAATTATCTTTTACGAAAAAACCATCTTTAATATTCTTTAGACTCCGAAATTAACGTTTATAATATGTACTAACAAAATTACAAAAAAAAAAAAAAAAACATAGTTTAATATTTGTGTGCATTAGATGTTATAAAGCCAGAAATCGCAATCCCGTGCCATCTCGCGTGTTGAACTTAGGCCGCAGACTCGCGGCGCGATAAGCAGCGAAGTGTGACTGGGGTCGTCTCTTTGTATGGTGTTCATGGATGTGGTAACCCACATCGGCCTTTGAAAACAAGAAAACATTCGGAAGAATCGAGTCTCGAAAAATTAGATTTCTCGATTCTCCAAACCGCTGTCATATAAATAAAGTTATAGACAATCTCAATCAATCGCAGTACAATCGCCATAATCGCTGGCGCTCACAGGCGGCGCAGGTTCTCCCGTGGCCTAGCTCTTATATCATGTTGCCGCCAAGGTTGTAAGCTATCTGTTTGCCAAGACGCTCCGGTTGTTTCCTTTACGTCGCGTAGACGGAGACGCTACACGCCGGCTGTTGAAACAGGCACCGCGAAGCATGTTGCAGGGTGACCCTGCACCTCGATCGTTCCGGCCCATGGGAATATTTGGGTCGGTTGTACAAAAATGTATTAGAAATTTTCCTTTGAAAACTATCGTCCACCTCTGTGCTGTCAGCTTGTCTTTTCCTGACCACCCTGTAGCATTTTTACGCTTTTTAAACATAATGAAATCGTCATGAATGGGTATGTGCACGCTCCATTTATGACAATTGCGCTAGCGTCAATTAGTCTAGATTTCTGGCTTTATATCATCAAATCCGCACAAATATTGCACAATGTTTTTGTAGGTTTTGTCAGTAAATATTATAAATGTTAATTTCGGAGAGCTTAAAATATTAAAGATGGCCCTTTTTAAAAAAATTAATTTTCAAAATAATGGATATTTAGTCAAATTTATGCCCCTGTGTGAGAAATTCTTGTAAATTTTCCCCTCTAAACAGGACAAGAATATTTTATGCAAGGATGAACTATGTACAGGGAACTGGCAAATTTTGAAGACCTTAGCTTTTATAAATACGGAGAAAAAAATATTTAACCCAGAGCGTTGTTGCGCAATGTGACGTATATGCGATTTTCTTACAGCGGAGCTGTTAAAGACTAGTTTCCCCAGGATCGTGTCCGGTACCAAACAAATGTCGACACAACACTCTGGTTGCCGCCATCGCACATAGATGGCGGTAGCTGTCCAGAGTGTTGTGTTTGCAGGTTGTCTGCTTTCCGCCGTCGCTCATAGATCGCGGCAACATTTCTTCGGAGAAAGAAGAGCGGGAACGGAACGAGCGGCGATGTGCGCAGCAGCGCGAATGGTTCCGCAACCGCCGCGAGGCCGCTATCGCCTCAAGTTCCACTGCGTCGAGCGCTTCAGATTCCTTTGCGAAAGAAGAGCAGATTGCTCGCCTCCAAAGACACCGCCGAGAACAAACTACAGCTCCGCTGCTCTACGTTCTTCCCCATAGTGGAAAGGCTGAACGTTTTTTTTTAATAACAAGATTAATTTTTGGTGATTAACACTTTTTGTTAATCCTTCCTATACCTAATTTGTCAACAAATATTTCTAGACCCGTAGGCGGAACTCTTTTTTTGAGGAAGCCGCCACACATTTTTTTTTTCGCACAAGCAACACCCTTTTTTTTTTTTCCAAAACAAGGATTGGTTTCATTCTCCTGGGCACGGTACAAACAAAATATATCTCTTTCATCAAAATTAAAAATGATCGCCGGACATGGTTGCTCGATCTTATCTGAAAACACCCTTGTATCGATGCTGCCTCAAACGTTCATTCAGGCAGCGGCCCGTCCGATTCACATAGTGTGACGCCCACACGACAATGGGACGGAATAAACGACCTC